CAGCTGCACCACACTCCCAACAAGACAGACAACTGCACATAGACAGAGGTATATATAGGCTTTCCCATCTTCAGCATCTTGGATGCTGTGCTTGGTTCTAGCTACAGGGGGTGGGGGTGGGGTGGTATTGCTCCACTTTTCCCTGCCGAAGAGATTTTTTTTGTAAACTTCCTCTTTGATCGAATTGCCGGCATTTTGGCATTGCCTTAAGTGTGCCTAAATGCCTTCCCGCTTAAGCAGTACCTATTTATCTACTCACATTGCTGTTTTGAAAACTGCTAGGTAGGCAGAAGCTGGGCTAAAGTCCAGGAGCTCACACTGATCTGGGCTTTGAACTGTCAACCGTTTGGTTGGCAAAATTTACTGCAGCTTGCAGTTAACCTGCTGTGCTAAAGCCTGGCCCAGATGGGAAGTATAGAATCCTTTTTTTCTGCCATAATCTTTAGAACTGAGGAGGAAGAAACAGTTTGACACTTTTTTTAACAATGTAAATTCAGTAGAGTTATCTTTTGAATTGAGAGATATCCAGAGGTAGCCCTAGGTAATTTTCAACTGTAAGCAAACAGTATTTTGCCCCCCCCCCCAATCAATCACTGATATATATTTTCTGTTCATCGTGGGAGTTCTGTGTGCCATATTTGGTTCAATTCCATCATTGGAGGAGTTCAGAATGCTCTTTGATTGTAGGTGAACTATACATCTCAGTAACTACAACTCGCATATGTCAAGGTCTATTTTTCCCCAAGAGCGCCTCAAGAGCGCCCCTGGGCAAAATCAACTATACTGCCAATGCTTACTTTGCGTAATGGGTTGAGCTGCCCCTGGACATATCTGTACTTATTTATTTATTTATTTACTGCGCTTATATACCGCAATTCTCAGCCCTAGGGCAACTCATTGCGGTGTACAACATGAAAAAAACAGGTGCAAATTACAAACCATAGTGCAAAATAATCCACAATTCATCATTATCATAAAAACATCTTATCAAAAAATCAACATTACTACTAAATTAATACTACATTCGGAATCGTCTCATCGTCAAACCCACAACCCGATATCATTTCCGTTATTCCATTCCTATGGTCAAATTACCAGTCATTGCACTTCTTGATCAAATGCCTTCTTAAAGAGCCAGGTCTTTAACTTCCTGCGGAATATCAACAGGGAGGGGGCTAGCCTGATGTCCACAGGAAGGGTGTTCCACAGCCGAGGCACCACCACCGAGAAGGCCCTATCTCTCGTCCTTATACATTGTAATATAGAATAATATAGAATAGAAGAAATCCTGTTTGATTGTTTTGCGTTAAAAAGGAGTTCCACAAAAACGAACACAGACAAGTAAAAGAAAATCGGGGAAGAGACAGTGGGAGGATAATGTCTCTCATGTGATGGGAAAGTAAATGAATAATTTGAAAAGGAAGCTGAATGAAGGGGAAAATGTAGTGGGGGTAGGAAAATCATTTGTTTAATCTCCAAAGTGTTGCAAAGGTTAAGGGAAAAACAACGATCCCCAAGACTTTATTTATTCTATGGGATGAAGTCCATAGACCAGTCTATTCTGCTTTGGTCAAATTTCACTTGGAATGCTGCATCTAGTTCTGGAAACCACAATTGAAGAAGGATATGGACAGGTTGTAACATGTTCCAGTGAGTGTCTCTGTAGATCTTAGAAAACTATATCTTGATTTAAGTCGTTGATGTGCTGATACCCAAACAAGGGATGAGCTGGAGATGGTGCAATGCTGGCTAAACAGTGTAATTTCTCCAGTGGTGTAGGTAATAACCTGCATCTTGAATTGGGACCGGAAAATGAATGGTAGCCAATGGAGCTCCTTAAACAGGAAGGTTGACGGCTCTCTGTAATTTGCCCCGGTTAGAAGTCTGGCTGCCGACGGTTGGACTAATTAAAGTTTCTGGGCCGTCTTCAAGGACAGCCCCATGTAGAGTGCATTGCAATAGTCCAGTCTAGAGGTAACTAAGGAATGGACCACCATGGTCAAGTCAGGCTTCATGAGGTATGGCTGCAGCTGGTACACGAGTTTTAATTGTGCAAAGGCCCTCCTGGCCACCGCTGACACCTGTGCATCAAGCGTCAGCGCTGCGTCCAGGAGGACCCCCAAGCTGCGGACCTGCACCTTCAGGGGGAGTGCGACCCCATCCAGCACAGGTTGCCATCCAATACCCAGGTCAGTCATTCGACTGACCTGGAGGAACTCTGTCTTGTCGGGGTTGACCTTCAGCTTGTTTGCCCTCATCCAGGTCGACACAGCAGCCCTTTCATTTCTCTTTCTGCTGGCACTCCTTTAAATTTTAATTTAATTTTAATGTAGGATTGCTTTTGGTTTGTCCAAAAATGTTTTGGTGAAAACCTTTTGATTAAAAGTGCAAGAAATCATCATAATATGCAAGAACTATATCCATTTCACCCAGCAAAGTGAAAATTATAAGCATTTGTGTGCAATTAAAAGAAGTTAAAACTAATAATGTTTTCCTTCCCTCGTGGAATTATTTGAATTATTGGATCATTTATTTTATTTTTTTAAAAGTACTGTGTTTTTTTGAGTGACATTAATGTAAAGTGTTTGTTTTGTGGAAGAAGCTAATTATAAAGTGGGCATGCGGCCTATAAGAATTTAGAGCTGGCTTTTCCAGGCCAACTCTCTGTTTTCATAGGAGTCTTCTCTCTTTGTGAACAGTGAGCCCATCAGGCATTTTGGCCCTGGGATGTTTTAATAATTCCGTCTTTTCCCTTATGACCCTCTCTGTCATTTAATACTTCGAAAATAAAGCAAGTGAACAAACTCCAGAGTTCTGGGTTGGGGAAAACAAAGACACTAATTATGTTTGCTACCACAGTGCAAACATATAAGAGTTTTATAGCAGATAGAACAAACCTTGACAGATCCACATCCGTGGGTTGAGAAAGATGAGATGTTATTCTCCAAGGTGTCATACAGAGACACAGGAGGAGTTGTAGAAGTTTTTGCTTCTGCTTCCATAATTGGAAAGATATTGTTTCAGGAAGCTGGCGGTTTAGTATCCATAACTGTTCCCTTCTTATTGCATCTATCATCCATCTCAGTAGTTCTCCTATACCTTTTTAGGTGGTGGTGGTGATGGATGGAACCTCTGGTTTAATCTACATGTAAAACAAATTTGCACAAAGTTGTGCATATCATTTATTTTCTTGCATTTGAAATTGATTTCCTTCTCAGGTTGGAAAAAGAGCCAAAGAACTTGAAAATACTATTTTTTTTAAAAATAAATAAATAGAAAATCCACTACAACAAGGAAAATTTCAAATGATACGAAGAAAAACAAAGTCATATTTACATTCAGTTCATAGAATCATAGAATCATAGAGTTGGAAGAGACCTCATGGGCCATCCAGTCCAACCCCCTGCCAAGAAGCAGGAATATTGCATTCAAATCATCCCTGACAGATGGCCATCCAGCCTCTGTTTAAAAGCTTTCAAAGAAGGAGCCTCCACCACACTCCGGGGCAGAGAGTTCCACTGCTGAATGGCTCTCACAGTCAGGAAGTTCTTCCTCATGTTCAGATGGAATCTCCACTCTTGTAGTTTGAAGCCATTGTTCTATGTCCTAGTCTCCAGGGAAGCAGAAAACAAGCTTGCTCCCTCCTTCCTCTCACATATTTATACATGGCTATCATATCTCCTCTCAGCCTTCTCTTCTTCAGGCTAAACATGCCCAGCTCCTTAAGCCACTCCTCGTAGGGCTTGTTCTCCATACCCTTGATCATTTTAGTCGCCCTCCTCTGGACACATTCCAGCTTGTCAATATCTCTCTTGAATTTTGGTGCCCAGAATTGGACACAATATTCCAGGTGTGGTCTAACCAAAGCAGAATAGAGGGGTAGCATTACTTCCCTGGATCTAGACAATATGCTCCTATTGATGCATGGACATCCTTAAGCCCTTCCATGGACTCCCAATCTGTCTTGGCCACCATTCTTTCAAATGGCATAGGAATGGTGCTGAAGTTCCACTTTTATTCCTGTGCTCGCATCCTAAAGAATCCTGGGATCTGGGTAGGCATTATTTTATTTCTTTAATTGATTTATTCATGCCCAGCCCTATATCAAAGATGTCGGGGTGGTTTGCTAAAAGTGTTAAAACAAGTTGCACAATTTAAAATAATACAATAATTGAATAAGGTAAAGGTAAAGGTTTTCCTCTGACATTAAGTCCAGTCGTGTCCAACTCTGGGGTGTGGTGCTTATCTCCATTTCTAAGTCGAAGAGCCAGCATTGTCAGTAGACATCTCCAGGGTCATGTGGCCAGCATGACTGCATGGAGCGCCATTATTTAATAATTGAATAAACATTAAATAAATTGCAGGAATAGATTAAAACCAGATTTAAAATATTTTATAAACTATGTACACCATATCTGAGTTGACTTGATGAGACCCAGGCATGTAGCCGGGGGGGGGGGGGCCCTTAGGGGGCTTCAACCCCCCCCCAAATTCTCAAGGTGGTCCGCGAGAAGGCTTACTGGTGCATTATTTAAACTGTTATGTTTATTCATATCATGATCTGATCACCACACTCAATATATCCCATACATGGGGGTATTGGGGTAACGATACAAAAGGTTTGCTAGGGTAGACCCTCTTTCACTCAGACTCAGCCCCCCCCAAATCAAACTCACCCCCCCCCCCCCGAATCAAAATCCTGGCTACGGGCCTGATGAGACCCAATGGCTTTTGTGAACTGCCACATTTTAACTTGGCACCCAAATAACTTGAGTGTTGGCACCAGGTCTGGCTTTCAGGGAGAGGGCAGTCCACAGTTGGGATTCTATGGCTGGGAAGGCTCTCTCCTATATCCTTACAGAGGATGCTCACTATTTCCATCTGGAGAGCAGCAGAAAATGCTGTTAAACTGCAGTTTTCTTTATTGTCCCCAGGCATCTTTGTAAATTTATTGTTAGCCCTTTTCGTAACTGCTATCTCATTCTCTCTTTCATCCATAGTTTCAGCTGCAGTCATTGCAGATCGTATGTAGCAGCTTGTGGGCTGAAGAGGATCGGTGTTGTGATGTCCCAGCACTGGTAAGAATGGAGAACCAGCTCCTTTTTGTCATGGTTGTTTTGTGTGCAGTATAGGGTCTGAATACTCTAAAGGCAAGAGATCCCTCCTGATCTTGGAAGCTAAACAGAGTCAGCCTTGGTTAGTACTTGGATAAGGGGTGATGGGTCCACCAAAGAAACAGTGGTCCTCACCGAAGTCCTAACCACTGGGCTTGTGAATAGATTCATTTGGGATGTTTGCTTTCAATTTGTTCAGATTGTTTGGCTTGTTCAGATGCCCATAATGGCAAAGGCTCTGCCACCATGTTTTTTAAAAACTGAAATGGACCATGTGGTTGCCAGTTGCGGCTATCTTCTCTTCTATTTGGGATCATGCAGCTTGCGGAGAGACTACTGCATGCTCACACATGGTTTCTCATGTGTGAACATATAGCAGCCCTGTCTGTTGGGCCAATCAGAATGGAAGAAAGGCATGACATGTCTTAACCAAGCTGTGTCTTATTAAATAATGGGATGAGTGCCTCCATTGCTCAGTTGCATTCTGGCTCTCGAGAGAGGAGCTTAGATCTCTCTCCTCCCTCCTTTCTTCTAGAAAATACTTAAAATATCCTTATTAATAATTATAATAATTTCAGCAAACGGCAAAGTCTCATTCTCAGAAAAACCTACCTACTTAAACCTACCATCAATACCTAATAATTCCTTTCCTTTGCAATCTCATCACAAATTTTTTCTGTTGTTTTATTATATTGCTCTCTGTTCTCTCTGCCTTCTTCATTTCATACAATAATCATAATTTGACTGTTGTCTATAATAATAAAACTTTTGGGCTTCTGTGGAAGCTTTGCCAAGCCAACAGAACACATCTTCTTTCTCTAACTCCAACCTCCACCAGGACAAAAAAGATTATTGTTATTATTGTTTGTACTATTCATAAGAATTGTACCAGCAAAACACCACCAACTCAAGTTCTACCAGTCTTCCTCTACCAATCCTACCCTTTGCAATCTCTCTGCCTTTTTAAATTCATTTAATAATAATAATTTGACTGTTGCCTAATAATAAGAAAACTATTGGGCTTCTGTGGAAGCTTTGCCAAACTCTAATTCCAACCTCCAACAGGACATAAAAGATTATTATTACTATTTGTATTCATAAGAATTGTATCTTCAGGAGTAAATTTTAATTTAAAAAAATTACAAAATAACTGCCTGTTCATGCAAGCAATCAGCCAACTGCATCCAGCCACATCCAGCAGCCCCAATTCCCATCTTCTTCAGTTTCCAGCCACCCACCTGCCTGAGCTGAAGTCATCCTTCTCCCCTTCTCTGAGGCCCCCATTGCCCTTTTTTTGGGGCTGCCACTTTTTTTGACTTTTTTTTTCCAGTGGATCATACAGGAGTGTTTTTCTAATAAGGGGACATGCTGCTTGCTTGTGGATGGTGGGGAAGTGCATCTTTGACATTTGGCAGCAAGGAATGGTGTCCCTTTGCTGCTTCTTACAGGGTGGGGCCAGTGGGGGATGCCTTTTTGGGAAATTTTTAAAGATTTTATTTCTAGAAAGAAAATAAAATAATAAAATCAGGGGATGACCCAAATGTTAGGAAAATTGGTGGGCTAACAGTGGTAAATGTGTCCTCCAAATGTGTCTGTTTTCATCTCAGCAACCCTAAAATGATAGGATGGGGACCCCATGAAACCCCCTCCCCCCCCATTGCTGCCAATGGGCCAGATCTTGCTGCATTTTTGGGTTATGGACAGAAAACAGCTTTTCGAATGGTCGATACTTTTGGGAGGTGCACAAGAACAGATCTCCGGGTCCCCCAAAATTTGGATAGCAGAAATGGATTGCGGTTCAGCTGAAATGCACAAGCCTACTAAGCACCAAAGCTTCCAAGATCAGACAGAATATGGTAACTTCTGGATATTTAAATGGTAGTAGTGATAGCAATCAATAATGAACACTAAAGAAGAGAGGCCATCTAAAAACTGCTAGTGAACACTAGACATTATTCATGATCGTGGAATATTCATTGTCAATTTACTTGTGGACAGTGGAACCAGGTGAATGGTGAAATAGAATTAATTTTGTTCCTCGCGCTGTAATATTTTTCTTTACTTGGTGTTTCCATATTTAGATTCCTACCTTTTATTTCCCAAATTTCAGAGAGATGAAGAGGTCTGCCCCAGCCTTCTTCCTTCCTGCAGCTGCACTTCCGCGATCCCAGGTCTTCCAGGGCCACCAGGTCTTCCAGTAAGCTCAATTTCCAATTACATTTTCCTGAAAAGTGATCAGACTTTCATTGTGTTGGGTAATGAAGAAACTGGTCCGTCTTACCAAGAAGAGAAAATAATTTATGGGATCATTTAGAAGGTTAACCATAATGCAATAGGAAGAAAGAAAGAAATTCCCTAATCAACTAGGAAGAGTTTTTGGAATGTACAAAGTTTCCTTGAGGCTCTTGGGAACCTCAAGGAAAATCAGCTTAAGCACTTACAACATTCTGATCCCACATCCTCAACAACCTGGGGCTTCCTACTGATATCACTTGCAAACTGAAATGGAAGGAGAAATTCAATATTTGCCATTATCTATCAATACCTGCTTATATATTTCCCTTTAGTGCTCAAATATTGGCTGATATATATTTGATGGACTCCTGCTGGTTATATAGTGTTGCTGGATGGTCTTTCATAACTGCTATAAATAATAAAGTGTATGTTTGTTTCAGTGCCAGGTTGCTCAGTTTAAATGCCAAAATCCAGCTGTCTTCAATGTACTACCGACTCTAATCTTTGACCTGTAAATGGACAGAAGCCTATGAACCGTAGTGGCCTCTTGCATACTGCCAAAGAAGAGGGCACAAAAGGACACATGTTTACATAATGTTTCATGTGCTAATACTGAGAGAGAGAATATTTAAAACACACTCTAAATAGATATGCAGTATTCATAATAGTGGGACAGACTTTGACTTGATGAACTGGGTTGCCTCACTCTTGTTGGAATTCAACCCCTCACTGCTCAAGTCTTCTCAATGAGAAGAAGTTAGCATTAGAATAGTCTGAGGGTTTCCCTTCCTACATGTTTCCTGTATGACAGTTGGGAATGTATCTAATTTCTTCTTTCTTTTTCTGTTCTCATTCTGATTGGTTGTTTAAAACTTTTCTATTGCAAGCTTTTTAAATCTGACTTCTGCCTTCTTACATTTTAGTATGGAGAGTATGTGCTGTGTGCTTTGAGATCTCTCTCTGCGTGTGTGTCAGCGAGATGTAGAGACTGGTGCTTTGTTTCCCTCTCTTGAAACCTTAGAAGAGATGGGTGCTAGAGTAGCTTAGACACAGTTCTTGATTATTAAGAAATGCAGTTATTTCTTATTATTGTAAACAAACCTTTTGTGATTTTTAAAGTTTGGATTCTGCATGTTTTCCCCCTAAGCTCTGAATTCTTTACAGCCACATCACATGGCATTTTACGCATTGTGAGTTGAGAGCTGTTGATCAACTTTTCAGATCCAGATTACTAACTGGGGGGCATACAGGGAGCATACCACCCCCCTGCCTGCTGGTCCATCTCCGAACCCAATTCAAAGTGCTGGTTTTGACCTATAAAGCTCTATATGGTTCTGGCCCAGCTTACTTGTCCGAACACATCTGCCCCTACATCCCACCTCACAATTTAAGATCATCTGGGGAGGCCCTGCTTTTGCTCCCATCAACAGCGCAAATGCAGCTGGCGGGGATGAGGAGCAGGTCCTGTGGCCCCCCGCCTATGGAACACACTCCCAAAGGAGGTAAGATCTGCTCCCTCACTCCTGACCTTTAGAAAAAATTAAAATCATGGTTCTGGGACCAGGCCTTCAGACAATAGATGTATGCAGCTTTTAGTGGGACAAGGACTGGAATGGCGACTCGACTGATGAGATTGTTTTATAGTTTAAATAACTGTTTTCATATTTGGTAATGTACTATTTTTAATATGATTTATGTGTGGTTTTACAATTGCAATTATAAGGCACTGAATTTTTGCCATTATCTATGGGTAAACCGCTTTGAGTCCCCCTAGGGGGTGATAAAAGCGGTATATAAATACTGCAAATAAATAAATAAATAAAATATCCTGTTTTAGTTTTTGAATGTTCTGCTTTATTTTAGGGTAGTTTTCTGTAATGACTCTTACCATCTAAAACATTATGGCTTATTCTACGCAGCCCTATGGTGGGAGGGGTGATTACCTATGGGGATGGGGGCTCTCTCCAAAGGAGAACTCTGTCCCCTAAATAGAATTTTCTTTCAGAACCAAAGTGCATACAGTTTGGTTTGTATGTTTTTGTTTTGTACAGAAAACATCATTGTCTGAACAGGAAACAACATTTTCTGGACTGAAACTATCTATATAAATAAAAATGTAATGTTCATTTGTGGGATTAACATAACTCAAAAACCACTGGGCAAATTGACACCAAATTTGGACACAATATACCTATCAGGCCAACGAGTGACCATCACTCATAAAAACATCGAAAAACACAACAGAAGGGACTTAAAAAGCCAAAAAAGCAAAAAGACCAGGCCCTTTAGGAGAGGAGGATGATCCAAATCACTGCTTCCAAGCTGCAAGCTTTCTTCTCCTTGGATTTCTTTGAGAGCATCCCATTCCTGCATATTTCCAATTTACTATTCTTAGACTGCAACTCCCAGCAATCCTCCAGATCAGGCCTGTAGCCAGGATTTCGTTTCCGGGGGGGGGGGGGCTAAAAAATTTTGAGGGGGTTTGGGGGGGGGGGGGGGGGCTGAGTCTGAGTGAAGGAGGGTCTACCCTAGCAAACCTTTTGTATCGTTACCCCAATACCCCCATGCATATGGGATATATTGAGTATGGTGATCAGATCATGATATGAATAAACATAACAGTTTAAATAATGCACTAGTAAGGCCTTTTCGCGAACCACCATGAGAATTTGATAGATAGATTAGATAGAGATAGATAAGTAGATAGATCAATCAGGAGGACTGCTGGGAGTGACAGTCCAAGAATAGGTAGAGAAGGAAGAATGGGGAGAGAGGAAGGGAAAGAAAAGGGGGGGGGGAGGAAGGGAAGAAGAAGAAGATAAGGAAAGAAGGAGAGAATGAAAGAAAAAAGGGAAGGAAGGAAAGAAAGAAAGGAGGAGAGAAAGAAGGAGGGAAGGTTGGCCACAGCAACACATGGCAGGTACTGCTAGTAATATATAAAAATAAAATCCTGTTTCTTGCACAGAAAATTCTCTTTTCTGCCTCCCCAAAAATCACATGTACAAAATAAGCCCCAGACTGCTAATATTTTCATCACTCCAGTTTTCTTTTGGTCAAGATTTCTCAACATTTGAGAAACACTTATTTTGACTGGGTTTTTTTAATTTATTAAAATATTCTTTCTATTCTTTGACCCTATAAGCTCAAAGCTGCCTTCTTGCCATTGTCATTGCAAGCGAATAAAATGCAGATTACCCTGACCGACAAAGTCAGAAGCACTCTGAGAAATGAGAATGTAGCCCCATTATTGTAATAGGTTGTTTTCCTGCATTCACCTTTAATAGAATTCCCTGCTTTTAACCTACCCGAGGTATGACAAATAAGATATATTTAATGCAGAGTGCTGTTTGCTGTTGGGAATAAAAGTAGGTTGGCCAGTTAGCAAAAGAAGCTTTCAGTTGTATTCCCTGCTACACTGTCAAAGTCAGGTCAGGTTCACCCAGGTTTCAGTGTCAGATGATGGCGGGTGTGTGTGTGTGCGATTTGAAGTGGATGAGAAAAGTACTCATATTTTCTTCTTGTTTGTTGAGATCCCCCCCCTCCACCGAGTTCATCCCATCCCATTTCTGTATTAGTCCATGAATGCTTTTAAAAAAATCTATGCACATTTTCATATTGCAATTCCCCTAATGTGCATCTTTTTTGTGAGACTTTTCAGTAATATATGCATGTTTTCTATTATGCTGAATGCATTTTTCCTCTTTCAGTGCATTTTAATCAAAGAACAGAATCACAAAATATGAAGCGATGCTGGATAATTGTCCCCCGTTTTCTGTATTCGTTCAGGATTAGTTGTTGTCTCCTTGTGGACAACAAGTTAAACATGAGCCAACAATGTGATGTGGCGGCAAAAAAAGCCAATGGGATTTTGGCCTGCATCAATAGGAGCATAGTGTCTAGATCTAGGGAAGTAATGCTACCCCTATATTCCGCCTTGGTTAGACCACACCTGGAATATTGTGTCCAATTCTGGGCACCACAATTCAAGAGAGATATTGACAAGCTGGAATGTGTCCAGAGGAGGGCGACTAAAATGATCAAGGGTCTGGAGAACAAGCCCTATGAGGAGCAGCTTAGGAAACTGGGCATGTTTAGCCTGAAGAAGAGAAGGCTGAGAGAGGATATGATAGCCATGTATAAATATGTGAGAGGAAGCCACAGGGAGGAGGGAGCAAGCTTGTTTTCTGCTTCCCGGGAGACTAGGACGCGGAACAATGGCTTCAAACTACAAGAGAGGAGATTCCATCTGAACATGAGGAAGAACTTCCTGACTGTGAGAGCCGTTCAGCAGTGGAACTCTCTGCCCCGGAGGTGGTGGAGGCTCCTTCTTTGGAAGCTTTTAAACAGAGGCTGGATGGCCATCTGTCAGGGGTGATTTGAATGCAATATTCCTGCTTCTAGGCAGAGGGTTGGACTGGATGGCCCATGAGGTCTCTTCCAACTCTTTGATTCTATGATTCTATTATTCTATGAAAGGCATATTAGAGATGCATTTAAACCAGGCATGGGCAAACTTCAGCCTTCCAGGTGTTTTGGAGTCCATGTCTGTCTGCTTATTCCTGACTACACTGTAGTAGAATTAATGCAGTTTGACACAACTTCAACTGCCACAGCTCAATGCTGTGAAATCCTGGGAGCTGTAGTTTTACATGGTTTTTACCCTTTTCTGCCAAAGAATGTTGATGTCTCACGAAACTACAAATTCCATGATTCAATGGCAGTTAAATTGGTGTCAAACTGCATTAATTTTACAATATAGATTAGGTTAGTTTATATTAAAAACTGTAACAACTGAAGCATGTAAACTAAGAGGATTTTGCAACCATCCCTACCTTATTTTCTTTCTTTCTTTAGTACTTTTGTATACCGGTCTTCTCACTTCCGTGGAGGGACTCAGGCCGGTTTCCAACAATAATATCACAAGCAATCATTTAAAAACATCACATTCCATAATCCACTAACACATTAAAATACCAAAAATACAATCATATAATTACAATGGCCAAGTCGACACAATAAAATCGTTGTTCATCACCATCCATCCATATAGCCACGAGTTACTGATTCACTTGTCAAATGCCAGTTTCCAGTGCCAGGTTTTCACCTGTTTCCTAAAAGTCAGGAGAGAAGGGGCAGTTCTAATCTCCAGTGGGAGGGAGTTCCAGAGCTGAGGGGCCACCACCGAGAAGGCCCTGTCCCTCGTCCCCACCAAGCGTGCTTGCGAGGCTGGTGGGACCAAGAGCAGGGCCCCTCCAGACGATTTTAACAATCTTGATGGTTCATAGGGGAGAATCCATTTGGACAGGTAAACTGGGCCTGTAATGGGCAACGTACTACAATTTGGTGGTCCAAGTAAGTTTAGTTTGGAGAAGAGAAAAAGGAGAGGTGGGATGAGAGCTATCTTTGCGTATCTGTACAAATGCTGGAGTGAGCTATTTTCTGCCACCTCTGACAACAGAATATGAACCAATAGATTCACATTACAAGAAAAGGGGTTCTGCCTATGTAAACATCAGGAAGAATTTATTTATTGTAAACACAGTTCAATAATGGAATAGATTTTTTTTAAAAAAAATTCCTATGTTGGGAATCAGTTTTGTGGTTGTCTTCTACAGGGTAGTCCTGGAAGGAGAGGACCTCAAGGAGAACAGGGCGAACCTGGCCCCAAGGTGAGTGCTATGACATCTAACTCAATTATGATTCAAATCTGGGGTAAATCATGGGATCAAAGAATGTGACCCGCAGAAAATACAGCCCAAAGAAGGACTTTGGACTCTAGACACTATCAGGCATTGCTCACATATTTTTCTTTTCTTTTCCTAAAATAAATATTTTCTAGAATGAACCTTATCCTTAACCATTAGACCCAATAAGGCAACAATTTTTCTGATTTATTTTTTCATTTTGGAAATTTTAATGGAAAAAATGGGGAGAGGTACTTACAAGATGATCTACATCACTTGCCAAAATGACTTTGCTTCCTTGGAGTACTTTGCATTTCTCTCTCATCCTTAGTTAAAAATGCTGTTCAAAATGTTTATTATTAACTATGTTGAGATTTTTAAAATTTTGCAATTTAGCTAGGATTTTGCAGCCCCCCCCCCCCAAAAAAAAAGATTCTAAGAAATAATGAGCTATGGGCAAAAATGTATGGAAATTTTAAAAAAAAGCAAAACAGGGAAAAACTTGAAAAAGAAAAAGGCCCAGACAATGGCCTTCATCATCCCCTTTGTTTTGAAGGTTTGCAAGAGTATGAAGAAGGAATTGATGAATTGGCCTAAATCTAAATGGAGAATAAATCTATTCCATTTGTACTCCATTCTGTTCTAGTGGGACATTGCGTATAAAATCCCAGGTTACTTTATTTATTATTATTTATTTACTTCATTTATATACCACTTTTCTCAGCCCTTAAGAGACTCAAAGCGGTTAACAACAGCAATTTCAATACACACATTACAAAACCATTGGAGCATTTAAAAACAATAGCATAACAACAATTAAACATCAATATGACAAATCATTCACGTCTCATCAATAGAATCAGAATCCAATCTCATCATCCGTTATTCCGTGTTCCTATAATCAATTACACTGCCTAATCGAATGCCTGTTCGAACAACCAGGTCTTCACTTTCCTCCGAAATGCCAATAAGGAGGGGACCGATCTGATATCTGTAGGAAGGGCATTCCACAGCCGAGGGGCCACCACTGAGAAGGCCCTGTCTCTCGTCCCTGCCAGGCGTGAACTTTCTTTTTTTTTAAAAAAATCACTTGGTCTTAAAACAACTTGGAAGCAAAAAAATTAAAGTTCAATTATTTTCCACTTTTTCTGAGACACATAGAAAATGTCTTTATATAATCTTCATCCAAAAAATAAAATAAAATTGATAGTTGGAAGAATTGAGTTTCTCATAATGGCATAAGAAGCTGCATATGGGTCATGGGTGACACTTTGGCCACTCCAATTTAGGACACCGTTGTTAGAGAGAAAGCATGTCTATGTTTTTGCCATAAAGGATTTTCCTATAAAGTATTCCAGGCCACTTAAATGGTATCTTCTAGGCCTGGGTAACAACGCAAAAATTTGTTTCTAAAATCGATTTGTATTTGGGGGGTTTTTTTGTTTCGATATTTAAAATAATTACAAAATTTTCCTTTTAAAAAGTTCGATATTTACGAAATTTCGTAAATGTGAAAAAAAATTACAAAACATTAACGAATCGATTTCTGAAACAATAACGAATCGATTCGTTAATGGCGGACGCGACCGCGAAATACGCTAAAAAACCTCCAAAAACTTCTGAAGCTTCCCTCTCCCTCTGTTGTTGACTGTTGGTGTGATATTATAATTTTTTTTCACTAATTAAACAAAAAAATTGCCCCAGACATGCGGAAATAATAACGAAACGACCTCAGAACAATAACGAAACGAATACAATAACGAAATACGAAGCATTTACAAAACGTTTAAAAATTCGTTTTTTTAAAAAATTGCTCCAGAATGGTTCGTTATCGTTTTGTAATTGAAAAAATTAACGAATTATTAACGCATTACGAATTAACGAAACGAAACCGCCCAGCCCTAGTATCTTCTCATTGACTTTTCTTTTATTCAATCTTACAGTTCTGTTATTAAATCTATGACAGGGGTTTTTTTGCCTCCCAAATCAGCGTGACAGCCACAGAAATGAGCTCACTTTCTGCTCTAGATCAGCAGATAAAAAGAGTCAGCAACCTTGATGCTACATTGCTGAAAGCTTTGGAAAATGTTGAAATTCATCATCGCAACATTGGCAGCGTCTGTTCTGTCCTTTCACATGTCACATTGAAAGGGAGATATGCCACAATGTAGAATTGGACTTTCTGATCAAAGCGGAAGATTCATAATAGTGTTTTAACATAAAGGTGAATACCAGGGATAAACTATCAATCAGAATGTAAATCAGGATTTTTGAATCAAAATGTGTACTTCTGTCATTGGTAAAGTGCTTATGATGGCCTTGAAAACAATCATAGAAATGTAGCATTGAAAGGGGCCACTTGGTTATCCAACACAACCCACTACCATTGGAAGAAGCCACTACTAAATCATCCCTGACAGGTGGCCATCCAAACTCTTTTAACAAAACTCCAACAGAGGAAAAGCCACCTCCTTCCAAGATGAGCTATTTCACCACTGAAGAGCTCTTACCAATGAAATGTTTTTCCTAATATTTAAAGATTAAAAGAAAACTCACTTTTTCTTGTTCTCATGGTACATCGAGACTGTGGAATCAATGCAGCTTGGCACCACTATAACTGCTGTGGCTCAATGCTATGGACTCATGGGAGTTGGAGTTTGCTGAGGCACCAGCACTTTCTGGCAGAAAAGACCTTGTCAAAGTTCTAGAACATGGCCATACAGCCCAAAAATCCTACAACAACCCAGTGATTCCGGCCATGAAAACCTTCGACAATACAGAGACCTTGTCAAACTTCAATTCCCAGGATACTATAGCATTGAGTCATGGCAGTTAAAGTGGGGACTACTACATTAATTCTACAGTCTAGATGTACCCTAATAAGCCTGCATCCTTAGATGCAGGAAGAATCTGTTTTGCCCTCTAGGCCCTAAGATTATTATGAAAAATTACTAACTAGTTTCCAAACCTTTGAAGTCCATAGGCAAAATTATCAATAGCTATGTTGGATGGTGAATTCAGAATGAGATCTGACCATATGACCAGCTTCGTCCTTGCAAACAAGTTAGATAGTGCACCTTACAGAAGAGATACTAATCCTTTGATGTGTATATATATATTTGTTTCTGATTGCTTTAGGGTGAGCCAGGTTCACCTGGTCAAGTTGGACCAGAAGGTCCAGGAGGACATCAAGGAACTCCCGGTTCCCAAGGGCTGACTGTGCAGGGTCCTATCGTAAGTCAATATCTATTTGGGTGTTTTTATTGTCTTGGAAGCACAACCACTGGGTGGTTCTGGAAAATTTGGTCCCTGAAAATAACTACTCCAAGATTTTATCATTTGGGATGTCATGGAAATCTGAACAGGATTGAGCACATAGAGTGCATCAAATTGGATGCAATTTGACATCACTTTAACCACCATAGCTCAATGCTATGGGGTTGTGAGAGTTGTTTAGTCTTATCTGCCAAAGAGTGATGTCAAATTGCAACTCCAATAGCATTAACCCATGGCAGTTCAAATGGGGTCAAGCTGCATTAATTCTACAGTGTAAAAACACCCTTAGACAACCACTTCTGACTCTTGCAAGAAGAATGTGGGGAAGGGGAGACAGCTTTCTCATGAGCAGGTTGAGCATGTTCTTGTTCTCACTAAAACTCCTACTATATCTTGAAAGTGACAGTAATAGTCTTAGAAATACTGAGGTTTTCATCCTGATTTTCATCTGTGAATGGCAAGTTAGAATGATTTGTGTAAGCACATCTTTCTCCCCTTCTCCAGAAAATCTATATTTTTTGTTGTATTCTAATTCAAGGGGCCACCAGGTATTAAAGGGGACAAAGGAGACAATGGCAACCCAGGGATACAGGTAATTGGAAGACATACATCATTTGCCTTTTGATTTCCAATTATTTATATTGTGCCTGACAGTTTTCCTAAGCAAGATTTAAGATCTGTTCCAGTTGCTTTCTAGCTCCACTTTAAACAATCCTTCTTCCTGTGAGGGAATCCCATCGCAGCACTTTTCACTGGCTTAGTATCCCCCTGACTCCAAGGTCCTCATTTGTAGCGAACATTAATTATCTGAAACATAAAGAGTCCCTTTAGAAGGTCAGTAAAAGAAATGTTAAGATTTTGCAAATGGGTAAACTAAAGGGAGAATGTATTGTCGAAGGCTTTCATGGCTGGAATCACTAGGTTCTTGTGGGTTTTTTCGGGCTATATGGCCATGTTCTAGAGGCATTTTTCCTGATGTTTCATCTGCATCTACGGCAAGCATCCTCAGAGGTAGTGAGGTCTGTTGGAAGTAGGAAAATGGGTTTATATATCTGTGGAATGACCAGGGTGGGGCAAAGAGCTCTCTGCTGCAGAGGAAAAGTGTTCTTGCCATACATCAAGGGAACCACTGACCGCATAGGGAAGCTGATGAGGAAACACAACATACGAACAATCTACAGACCCACCAAGAAAATCCAACAAATGCTACGTTCAGCAAAGGACAAGAGGGATCCTCTCACCTCTGCAGGAGTGTACCGTGTACCATGCAGCTGTGGACAAGTCTACATAGGGACCACCAAACGCAGCAGCATTGCCCAAACACAAATCAAGGAACATGAAAGGCACTGCAGACTACTTCAACCAGAGAAGTCAGCCATAGCAGAGCACCTCATGAACCAACATGGACACAGCATATTATTTGAGAACACAGAAATGCTGGACCACTCCAACAACCACCATGTCAGACTACACAGAGAAGCCATTGAAATCCACAAGCATGTGGACAATTTCAACAGAGACCATGAAAATGAACAACATCTGGCTACCAGTATTAAAGAAAACTCTAAAATTACAACAGCAAAACAGCAGAGAGGAAACAAACAACCAGGCACATCTTAACACCTCTCAACACAACATTTTCCCAGGCTCAGCCAGGCCTTCAAATGCTAATGAAGGTGGTCAGCTGAAACATTCACACCTAGCTTCAGCAGAGAGCTCTTTGCCCCACCCCAGTCATTCCACAGATATATAAACCCATTTTCCTACTTCCAACAGACCTCACTACCTCTGAGGATGCTTGCCATAGATGCAGGCGAAACGTCAGGAAAAATGCCTCTAGAACATGGCCATATAGCCCGAAAAAAACCACAAGAACCTAAAGGGAGAATGTATGTGACTTTGGGCAAGAATGAATGGCATACAAGTGGTAATAAGGAGGGGAACAACACCGCATAGCAGTACACTTGCTTCAGATGCACTTCTCAAGCCTTCTCTAGATTGGGGAAAAAATGGAAATGTGATGCAGTGCTGAGTGTGCCTATATTTAGAAAATAGAAAGAGGACTTATCTTGTCCTTGTCAAACACACTTCTTTTCAGTAGTGGTAGTGTTTTTGTCAAGACAACATTGAGTGATCTTGTGATGCTTTAAATAGAGGTGTCATCATATGGTGGAAACAAGTAGGGCATGGTGGTGGGTTTGTAGTTCTGCCTATAGTTGACCTCTAGTAGACTTTATTGGAGAGCTAATTGGAGTTTGGAGCATTTTCTGGAGGTGATACAAAGCCTTAGGGAAGTTGTAGAAAGACAACATCCAGTTGTAGAGGGTGGGGTGGGGGGATTACATGATGTTGGGTCGAGAAGGGCCGGGCTGTAACACAACTGGTTAATCACTAGCAGCAATAAATCACTGCTGACCAGAAGGTGGCAAGTTTGAAGCCCGAGTTGGGGTTGAACTCCCGACTGTTAATAGTCCAGCTTACTGTTCTCCTAAGCAGTTCTAAAACAACTGTCCTGTGAGTAGAGAAATTAGGGACCTCTTAAAGCAGGGAAGTTAATATATGACACCATAAAAATGCTGAAGATCAAAGAGCAAGGAAGAAATGCTACGATAAAAAAGGCTCGGCATCATAATGGATGAAGCGACAGCTCCCCACTGTGGCTGGAATTGAGCAACCTCCAGGATCTGAAGTTGGAAAAACTGCTGAATGACCTCTATCTGTCTGTATGTCTTCTTGTTTAAAAACAGCATTGAAAGTTTGCCATGTATGTGTGCATTGTGATCTGCCCTGAGTCCCCTTCAGGTTGAGAAGGGCAGAATATAAATACTGTAAATAAATAAATAAAAAGGTAAAGGTTTTCCCCTGACATTAAGTCTAGTCGTGTCTGACTCTGGGGGTTGGTGCTCATCTCCATTTCTAAGCCGAAGAGCCGGCGTTGTCCGTAGACACCTCCAAGTTCATGTGGCCAGCATGACTTCATGGAGCACTGTTACCTTCCCACCAGAGCAGTAACTATTGCTCTACTTACACTTGCATGTTTTAGAACTGCTAGGTTGGCAGAAGCTGGGGCTGACAGTGGAAGCTCATGCCACTCCCCGGATTCGAACCTGTGACCTTTCGGTCAACAAGTTTAGCAGCTCAGCAGTTTAATCCACTGCTCCACTGGGGGCTCCTAAATAAATAAATAAATATTTAATTAGGCCAATTCAGCCTTTTTAGCACATATTACCAACACGTTGTCTCTAGGATGCATGCAACTTCTCCCTGCATTCCATGGTCTTCAAAACACTGATATTACAGAACCGTACTCTTCTGACACTGGATTTGATGTATTGTCATCTTGATTTGCAGCCATGGATTGCTCCATCTTCCATGTATTATCGAATCCACTTTTAAAGCCATCCAGGATGGCAGCCAGGTGCTGCTCATTGTTTTGACATGGAAACATAGTTTCTGAATGGCAGTTCCATTTGTTTGCAGGGTCTGATGGGTCCCCAAGGAGCCCCAGGCAAGGATGGAATCCAAGGCTCAAAGGTAAATGGGCCAGGCATGTTTAAATCCTTCAAAATGATCAAGGGTCTGGAGAACAAGCCCTATGAGGAGCGGCTTAATGAGCTGGGCATTTTTAGCCTAAAGAAGAGAAGGCTGAGAGGAGATATGATAGCCATGTATAAATATGTGAGAGGAAGCCACAGGGAGGAGGGAGCAAGATTGTTTTCTGCTTCCTTGGAGACTAGGACACGGAACAATGGCTTCAAACTACAAGAGAGGAGATTCCATCTGAACACGAGGAAGAACTTCCTGACTGTGAGAGCCAGTGGAACTCTCTGCCCCGGAGTGTGGTGGAGGCTCCTTCTTTGGAAGCTTTTAAACAGAGGCTGGATGGCCATCTGTCAGGGGTGGTTTGAATGCAACATTCCTGCTTCTTGGCAGGGGGTTGGACTGGATGGCCCATGAGGTCTCTTCCAACTCTTTGATTCTATGATTCTATGAAAAGTAGGCCTCTGTCTCCATGCATGGCATTTTATGATAAATTGAAGGAATTGTAAGTCCATCCCTAGTTAGGAGCCAGAGATGTAACTGGGAGGGAGAAGGATAAGAGTTATCACCCAGCTAAGAATTCCGCCCTTCCAAATGATATTTTTTCGGCCGTCTAACTCTTAGCATTGAATCCTTGTATTGCTATGTTTGTATTCTCTTGGTAACTTCGCTTACGCTGTTTATTTGGATGCCTAAATTATAGTTCTAAATACTCAACTGGGAATGGAGGTAAACTTCAGGAGGGAGAAGAGATTTCTTTTTTGAGGACAATGCCTTCATTTTGCCTCTGGTCCTGATAGTTCACCCCTGATGGGAGCTGTGATCTGAATCGATTGCTTTCTGTTTTCCCCAACTGAGCCTTGATCTTAATCCTCTGACTTGATTCCCAGGGTGTTCGAGGACTGGAGGGCACGGCAGGACCACCAGGGCCACCTGGACCAAGGGTGAGAGATGGCAGTGATATAAAATAGAAAATTTCTACTTCAGAGGATGGCTTCCAGGAATAGGTCAAACTGAGCGGGGAAGAGCAACTAAAAACAATGAAACGCTTCATGCCTTCATTACTTTGGGCAAGTGGAACATGGACCTCCGGCAGTTATTTAGCTAACACTGGAAAGCACCTGGTCCCAGTCCTTGGGTGATCTTTTGTAAGCCAAGTATGCCCATGGGGTGCCACTCTCTGTCTCAAAAAATTCTCCTCGCCTTGATTTAGAAAAGACAGGCCTACCCTTTCAAATTTCAGTAGTTGTGCAGAAAAGTAAAAATATTTCAATAGCAGGGAGTCAAGATCCTTGGTCTGTTTATTAGCCCACCTGGGAATATATTCCTTCTTGAGCTGCAATGATTAATGACATATTTTCTCAGTTAAAGTGTTATTAATCTGCAATAATTTGTGGTATTTTTCATTTTTATTCGTTAAGTTTTTTAAAGAGTTTTCAATTTTTTGTTGTTACACCATTGACAGAAGTAGATAAAAACCTCAACTATAAGGGCATATACCATAGTTAAAATAATTCCAGCCACATTCTTATTTATTTTTATTTATGCATTGTCGAAGGCTTTCATGGCTGGAATCACTGGGTTGTTTTAGTTTTTTTCGGGCTATATGGCCATGGTCTAGAGGCATTATCTCCTGACGTTTCACCTGCATCTATGGCAAGCATCCTCAGAGGTAGTGAGGTCTGTTGGAACAAGGAAAAAGGGTTTATATATCTGTGGAATGACCAGGGTGAAACAAAGGACTCTTGTCTGCTGGAGCTAGGTGGGAATGCTTCAACTGACCACCTTGATTAGCATATAATGGCCTGACAGTGCCTAGAGCAAACTTTTGTTGAGAGGTGATTAGATGTCCTTGTTTGTTTCCTCTCTGTTGTTGTGCTGTTGTGATTTTAGAGTTTTTTAATACTGGTAGCCAGATTTTGTTCATTTTCATGGTTTCCTCCTTTCTGTTGAAATTGTCCACATGCTTGTGTATTTCAATGGCTTTTCTATGTATTTTTATGTATGTTTGCAAAAACTGTATAGTGAGCAAAGCTAGAAGTAGGAAAATTGGGTCATTTCAAATATGGTGTTGAAGAAAAGTTATATCATTACTGGGGATTACTGAAAAGACAAATGAATGGGTCCTGGTGCAAATCAATCACTAGAACCAAAGAGGACTTGTTGGCCAGCATTAAGGTTCAGCGGCCCTTATCGGGAATCCCCAAATCTGAAATACTCCAAAATCTAAAATTGTTTACATGGATGATTGAGATAGTGGTACTTTGTTTCATGTACAAAATTATAGAAAATATTGTATATAAAATTATATTCAGGCTATGTACATAAATTATGATTTATAAATAACTTACAAGTTTAGACCTGAGTTCCATCTCACTATGAATGTGGAAGAACAGACATCGGACTTACATACAGATGGGAGTGACATTAATAATAATAATAATAATAATAATAATAATAATAATAATAATAAACTTTATTTATACCCCGCTACCATCTCCCCAAGGGACTCGGTGCGGCTTACATGAGGCGGAGCCCACAATACATCAGTAATACAAACAATAACAACAACAATACAAGCAATAATATAAAACTCATAACAGAAACATAACAGAAAGTGAGAGGAAATCTATCCCTGAGAAGGGAAATTTACTCCTATAACAGTTATTATGGGGAAAGGTGTTTTCTCTGAAGCTTCATCACCAATCGTTGTTTCAACAATAACTCAAAATGTTCAAAATCCAATTGTCACAGGGACAGATAATAAGGTGAAATCTTCTGAACAGAAGCACAGAAAGCAAAGCAACTGTCTCATTAGAAAAGACCAAAAGTCAAAGTCAATCTGATGGCCACTACCACCAACTAACAATAGGCAGGACTTTTCCATTAATCGTATTCCAAAATATTTCATGCCTCTCTGAAGTATATTCATTGTGTAGTCATTATCACAGACAAGTGATAAAATAATAATAATATTTACAGCTGATTTCCCCCCATAAGTATAACACCGTCATTTACTTGTGACATCTTTATTATTGTCGAAAGCTTTCAAGGCCAGAATCACTGGGTTGTTGTATGTTTTTGCGAGCTATATGGCCATGGTCTAGAGGCATTCTCTCCTGACGTTTCGCCTGCATCTATGGCAAGCATCCTCACCTCACTACCTCTGAGGATGCTTGCCATAGATGCAGGCGAAACGTCAGGAGAGAATGCCTCTAGACCATGGCCATATAGCCTGAAAAAACCTACAACAACCCATCTTTATTATTATGCCCTTTTCTAAAAACTCAAGATTGTATATGTGATTCTTCCATTTTATTCTTACAACAGCCCTGCAAGGTGTTTTCTGGGTTGTTGTAGGTTTTGGGGGGGGGGGGGCTATATGGCCATGTTCTAGAAGCATTCTCTTCTGATGTTTCGCCTGCATCTATGGCAAGCATCCTCAGAGGTTGTGAGGTCTGTTTTGTTTAAGAAAGAATGAAGAAACCAAGCAAATGGCTCAACAAAGGAAGGAAGAGGCAATGGGTGACAGGAGAAATAAAGGGAAGGTAGAGGAGGAAGAAAGTGTGTCAGACAGAAAAAGAGCCACAAAGAAAGATGGCTAGTGCTAAAGCCCTGCATAATGAAGCCATTAAAAACTGGAGGGAGGCAATATCCCATGGCACAATTCTCTAGATATACAGTTCTGACCTATTCGCTCAACTCTAAATTGCGACATTGATAGGAAATGAAATGAGCATGAGTCACATATGATATACTTTTAACATTATTTTCCTGACTGGGTTGAACATTAGCATGAACCTGGGGGAAAAATCCTCTCTGGTTTTGCAAGCCAGTTTGGCTGGTTTGTTTGTGAATTTCAAGCAGTGGCATCATGAATGGTTGCATCTCTCCGTTCTTGTTTGCAGGGCTTTCAAGGCATTGCAGGAGTCCGAGGCAGCCCTGGGGAGAAGGGGCTCCCAGGAGAGGTTGGGCCAACAGTAAGTACCCTATTTTCCCACATCTACAAATGTGCAACAACTAAGGTTTTCTTTACTTGACTTATCAATTTTCAAGGCAATGACTTAACTAATCTTCTGGATTGGACCCTTCTACACAGGCACTAAAATCCAGCTCCAAGCCGGATCAATGTTGGAGCATCCACAAAATATATACCATAAATGTACACTGCAAAGTGCATCCAACATATTAAGAAAACTCACTGGAAATTCTAGTTCAAGGGGAAGTTTCATGCTCAAAGGCATCCAAAGCAACCACAAAGGACAGACCAAAACATGTCTCTTTGCAGCAGAGACTTCCATCTATTTCTGAATTGGCTTGGAACTTTCTGGAGAAAGATGGATCCTGGATTCATCCCATAAATTACCCCACCATGTGCAGGAAATGGGGGGTTTACAACAAGGCAAAAATCCACTGCAGCCCATCAGTGTACATCCCATGCAAAGCAGGAACCCGAGACCAAAAAATAGAGTGCTTGTGAGGACAGGTCTACCACTGAAGCATTTGGAGGAAGAAACTGGATCCATAGGTTAGAAGGTAAACAAATACCTCCCCCAAAAAGGGATTGAAAGTGTTCCAGTGGAAATCCTTGCTTTCCCTTTCTTGCTTTCTCCTGGTTTCATCCAGCACTGATTCTCATCGGACAGACTGCTTATATCATTGCACTCCACTTGAAGAGGTAGGTAAAGAAAATGGATTAATCTGCAATCAGCAGATCTTTGGGGCCACCCCCCCAGCTTCCATCGAGTCCCTGGGGTGCCTGTGTAGGCTCTCCATAGGGAACCAGATCTCTCTAATCCACATCCTGACCCTTATAGGTTGTGTAGAAGCAGTCTATAAGAACCGACACACCTGATAAATAATGATTACCCATAAAAGTTGACAAGTCTTTTTCTGTTATGGGCGATTGTTCTAAATCATGGTATTGCAACCTGACTTCACTTTGCCTATGTAATTGGCTTAATTGTGCATTGTTGCTCACTCAACAGTGACATGACTTAATAGCTCATTATTCCCTGCATGCAAGCACAGAGCTCTGCCTTCTTAGTGCTGAGATGCATGACATTAGAACTTCTCAAAGTGGTGACTCCTTCTGTTGAGATGCATAACATTTCTTGTTTATTCATTCAGTCATTTCTGACATCATGGACCAGTCCATGCCAAAGCTCCCTGTTGGCTGTGGCCACCCCCATCTCCTTCAAAGTCAAGTCAGTCACTTCAAGGATATCATTCATCCATCTTGCCCTTGGTCAGCCCCTCTTCCTTTTTCCTTCCATTTCCCCCAGCATCATTGTCTTCTCCAAGCTTTCCTATCTTCTCATTATGTGGTCAGAGTACTTCATCTTTGCCTCTAACATCCTTCCCTCCAGTGAGCAGTGGGCTTTATTTCCTGGAGTATGGACTGATTTGATCTTCTTGCAGTCCAAGGCACTTTCAGATTTTTTCCCCTAGCACCACAATTCAAAAGCATCTATCTTCCTTTGCTCAGCCTTCCTTATGATCCAGCTCTCGCATCCATAGATTACTATGGGAAATACAATTTCTTTAACTGTGTGGATCTTTGTTGCCAGTGTGATGTCTCTACTCTTCACTATTTTATTGAGATTGGTCGTAGATCTCCTCCCAAGAAGTAAACATCTTCTGATTTCCTGGCTGCAGTCTGCGTCTGCAGTAATCTTTGCACCTAGAAGTATGAAGTCTGTCACTGTCTCCATGTTTTCTCCCTCTATTTGCCAGTTATCAATAGGTCTGGTTGCCATCATATTGGGTTTTTTATGTTTCACTGCATTCCAGTCTTTGGACTTCCTTCTTTCACCTTGGTTAGAAGGGTCCTCAGCTCCTCCTCGCTTTCAGCTATCAAAGTAATATCATCTGCATATTTAAGGTTTCTTCTAGCAATTTTAACTCCAGCCTTAGATTTGTCAAGCCTCACATGTTGCATGATATGTTCTACATATAAGTTGAATAGGTAGGGTGAGAGTATGCAGCCCTGCCGTACTCCTTTCCCAATCTTGAACCAGTTGGTTGTTCCATGGCCTGTTCTTATTGTTGCTGCTTGGTCGTTATACAGATTCCTCAGGAGACAGACAAGGTGATTTGGTGTCCCCATACCACCAAGAACTTGCCACAATTTATTATGATCCATCCACACAGTCAAAGTCTTTAGAATAGTCAATAAAACAGAAATACTGTAGATATTTTTCATAATATTAGAGCTTCTCAAAATGGTGGCACAAGGACCAGTGCTGATCCTTGAAGAGGTCCAAGAAAACATTCTATCTAACGCTGGAATCATGTTATGCAAGGAAGTGAATTATATTCTTGAACAAGAATTTCTAGCTGTGAATGCCCTTGCCCATTATGTGCAGGAAAATGTCCAGGAGAAGAAACAGACCAGTAAAAGCTTATTAAAAATCAGTTTTCACTATAGCATCTGCCTTCAGGGGTTTGTGTGAAGTTTTCAGGTTTACCCTTAAAATTGCAGAGAACTGTGGCAGTTGTTAAAGTGACCTTTTCAGTTTTTGTTTGTTGCTAAGATATATATCAGGAGGGGGAGAGAGAAAAAAAGAGAGAAAGAAAGAGTGCAACAGCCACGTTGGTTGCAAAATGTCCTGGACTTTTATTTTTTTTATTTTTTTGTTGGTTTTAATATGTTTTAATTGGTTTTAATTCTGCAATGGTTTTGATGCTTTCTTACTTTTATGTGCTGTATGTTTGCCTTCTTTTGTAAGCTGCCTTGATTCTCAAACCAGGAAAATATAGGTGGTGGTGGTGATGATTGTTATTGTTACTGCCTTTTGCTTTTCTCTTTCTCCTGCAGGGGCTGCCGGGTCCAAAAGGAGAAAGAGGCGAGAAGGCGAGTCTCTTTAGTTTCCTTTTTTCATTGTTCTTTAGTCATTTTCTTGGGCTGAGTTCATATAGGGGTGTGTGTTAAAATGGTGCAGTTACTGTATCAGAAATAGGAATGTAAATCTTTGATTATGTCATCTTTGCATAGGATGATAAATGATTTCAATAGCTTTCTCCCTAATTCAAGAGGAAAAGAACAATTCCGTTCAGTTTTCACCTGTTATTTCCAAATCTTAAGACATTTCAATACAGAATTGAAATAAAGAACCAGAGCCCCCAATGGCTCAATGGGTTAAAACACTTGTGCTGGCAGGACTGAAGACTGACAGGTCAGAGGTTCGAATCTGGGGAGAGCATGGATGAGCTCCCTCTGTCAGCTCCAGCTCCCCATGCAGGGAAATGAAAGAAGCCTCCCACAAGGATGGTAAAACATCAAAACATTCGGGCGTCCCCTGGGTAATGTCCTTGCAGATGGCCAATTCTTTCACACCAGAAGCGACTTGCAGTTTCTCGAGTCGCTCCTGACACACACAAAAAAGTACAAAAGTGTATGCAATACTTTTTAGGGTGGGTGGAGGTACTTTTGTTATTTGTCTAAATAACAAAAGTTTTTTCTGCAAAAGTTTATTGTACACTCTCAAAAAAAGTGCATTTCTGGAAACACTTTTTTGGGGTGAGTACATTTTTCAAACACATGCACCAAGCCTGCAGATGAACATTGGTTTTTTGCACAAAAATCTCAGCTTCTCTGTCCCACAGGCAAGCCATATGTGTCTCTGGAAACAAGGTCCCCCCCCCCCCCCCGCAAAAAAAACCCCAACAACATGTTTTTGTGTAAGGAAATGTGTATTTCAATACTGTATTAGATCTTTGCAATGTGCAAATAGGCAAAACTGGTAGGGTTTGCTATTTTTCTTGAGTAATTAGGGGCTCTTCCACACAGTCCTATATCCCAGAATATCAAGGCAGAAAATCCCACAATATCTGCTTTGAACTGGGTTATCTGAGTCCACACCCAGATAATGTGGGATTTTCTGCCTTGATATTCTGGGATATAGGGTTGTGTAGAAAGGCACTTAGAATCATTTTTTTTCCCACCTGGGACATTATGTGTTTGTTTACCATACCACAAGGGCTCCCAAAGCAAAGAACAAAAAGCCAGCAAAAGACAAACCCACGCCAACACTAAACATTTAAAAACACATTAAAATACTCTTTTAAAAACAGTAGAAAAGCAATCCTCGTATATAATGATATAACAACAATTTTAGAGATTCAAGGCCATGCAGAATGACTCTGTTTGTGGCAAAAGGGATGGAGCCAGCCCAATTTCCTTGCTTAGATTATTCTGTTGCTGGAATAACTATGGCAGATAATTTCTCAATCCTGGATCATAAGTACTGACGGTGTTGAGATTTGCAATTTGCTGGTTCAATGAATTTTCTCCCGCCCACATTTTTAAGCCCAATAAGCATGGTGCCACTTGCCAATACGCTCTTCCCTTTCCCTGGTATCTCCAGTAACTCCAACAGAATCATACCAGCTGTTCTTGATTTGAAATGATCCACCAATTTGATTATACCATGCAATACTGGAGAAAGCACATTCATTCAGAGCATGGACAAGGGGAAAGGGATGGGCTCATTTTCCACTGGTAATATTGACACTTCCTGCTGGACACTATTTTGTTTTCTATTTTCTTCCTGGAAGATGCCAGATGAAGAAAGTTTGCTTCCATTAGGTTCTTGTGGGTTTTTTCGGGCTATAGGGCCATGTTCTACAGGCATTCTCTCCTGACGTTTCGCCTGCATCTATGGCAAGCATCCTCAGAGGTAGTGAGGTCTGTTGGAAGTAGGACAATGGGTTTATATATCTGTGGAATGGCTGGGGTGGGGCTTCCATTTCTGCTCTTATTCCAAACTGGCTTTGCAATTTTGAACTGGTTTACACTGTGTCTGAGTAAAAGTTAGCAAGCTAAAAAATTGAGTGGACAGAATGCTTTTGTAAGTCTTTTGATATAATTTTTCATGCTCATTTGCTATCTTCATTTGCATGGATTAGCAACATGTTTTAACTTTTCTGTAAATGCAAATGTGGGACAAGGATTTTTGACGTTGACATAAGTATTGAAGTTTAGCCTCCACGCGTCATTTCTTTACGCAAGGTCCATAACAACTGTGGAATAAAAGATCAGAGTTCTGACAAATTTTGTATTTCTGTGGTAAATAATTACAAAAGTTTGCTGTTGATACAGACAGGATGGATATGTGGGGTGGGATAATCCACAAACCCAAACCCAAATGTATATGGATAAGGTGGGAGTCACTGGGCTCAGTAGTACAACGTATGGAATGGATCTTGGGATTGTTGGTGAATTGAATATAAAATTGAATATAAAGTAGCAATATGATGCTGCAGCAAAGACCCCAAATGCTATCTTAGCCTTCATTCATAGAAACATAGTTTAAATCTATATAAATAAAAATGCAACGATCATTTGTGGGATTAACATAACTCCAAAACCACTGGACGAATTGACACCAAATTTGGATAGAATACACCTAACAACACAATGAGTGACCAATTTTTACAAAAACACCAAAAAACAACGAAAGGATAAAACAGGTACAGCACATGCACTAAAACGACTCCCCTGGTGGGAAGGTGCCCCGCAACAGTGGCAGAAAGAAGAAGGGGCCAACACCAGTTGAGTGAAGCTCACCTTGATAAGTGCCTCCCGCTCGCCCCGTGCCAGGTCCAGCAAAGCCGAGGGCTTCAAGGCTCCCTTCCCATCGCCGTCCTGGCAAGAGGTAGAGAAGGAAAGTAAAAAAGGGAAGAAAGGAATGAGGGAGGGAAGAAAGGAGAGAATGAAAGAGGGAGGGAAAGAAAAAAGGAAAGAGAGAAGGAAAGATGGAAGTAAAGAGCAAAGGAAGGAAAGAAAGAAAGAAAGGAAGAGGTAGAGGTAGAGGTAGAGAAGGAAGGAAGAAGGAAGGAGAGAAGGAAAGAAAAAAGGAAAGGAACAAAGGAAAGAGGGAGGGAAGGAAGGAAGGAAGGAAGGAAGGAAGGAAGGAAGGAAAGAGAAAGAAAGAAAGAAAGAAAGAAAGAAAGAAAGAAAGAAAGAAAGAAAGAAAGGAGAGCAAGAGGGAGGGAAGGTTGGCCACAGCAATGCATGGTAGGTACAGCTAGTGTTGAAGGAAATAATAATCCCAGTATAGTCTGTACTGGTCAGGCCTCACCTGGAGTACTGTTTTCCATTCTGGGTGCCTCATTTTAAGAAGGATATAGATTCATTGGGGCAGATTCAGAGATGGGCAACAAGGATGGGAAAGGGGGATGTAAAGGAACTGGGCAGGTTCAGGCTGGTAAAGAGAAGCCACATGCCTTTCTAATACTTCAAGGGCTACCACACAGAGAAGGAAACAGGCTTGCTATTTGATACCCAGAGGGTTAGACTATTTATTATTTATTTACCATATTTATATCCTGCCCTTCTCAACCCCAAAGCGAATCAGTGGTGCGCCTAAAGGCACAATTCAATGTCATACATTACATAAATACATACCCAGCAAATAAAAACATATACATTAAAACATCTGCTTAAAACATATTTAAATTATTAAAATCACATAATCAAATATCGTAGTCCAGGCTGTCTCAGTTATCTTTGCACCATTCCATGTTCACATATTGCACTAATCAATTATCCAAAAGCTCTGATCCCACATCCAAGTTTTCAGTTTTTTTCCCTAAAGGTCAGGAGGGAGAGGGCTAATATGATGTCACCAGGGAGGGAGTTCCACAAACAAGGGGCCACCACTGAGAAGGGCCTGTCTCTCATACTCACAAACCACACCTGCAAAGGAGGTGGGGCTGAGAGTAGGGCCTCCCCAGATAATCTTAATCTCCAGATGGTTCATAGAGGAAGATGCGTTCAGATAGGTAAGCTGGGCCAGAACCATTTAGGGCAGTGGTTCTCAACCTGGGATCCCCAGGTATTTTTGGCCTTCAACTTCCAGAGATCCTAACAGCTGGTAAACTGGCTGGGATTTCTGGGAGTTGTAGGCCAAAAACATCTGGGGACCCCATGTTGAGAACCACTGATTTAGGGCTTTATAGGCTAAAGCCAGGACTTTGAATTGTGCTTGATAGCCGACTGGAAGCCTAGATATAGTAGATCTAGACTATAGACCTAGCAGTTCCAAATTACAGGATAATAGATTTGAAATTAACATCGGAAGGAACTTTTTGACAGGAAGAACAGTTCCACAATGGTGTCAAGAGTGATGTTGGGATCTTCTTCTCCAGATGTTTTCAAAGAAGAGTCTGGACAGGTAGCTAGTGGAGATGGTCTAGTTGGAGACCCTGCATTGAGTTGGGTTTGGATCTGATGTGCCATAATGTACCTTCCAACTATGATTCTATGATCTTTTTACATGAAAAACAAATACAGACACATCCCACTCTATTCAATATTGTTCCCACTAGGCTTTCTTTTCTGAAAGGTTTTTCAGTTGTGATAGCATTTTTCATATTTATCTCCTGGGCACCCTGCCCAGGTTTTGTTTAATTTTGTGTCAAGCCTTCATAGGGATCCAGACGGTGTCATCAAAAAATCATGCTGTTTGGTACAGAGCTCAATTTTCTTTTTGTGATGAGCTTTTATGGATAATAGCAGTGTTTATTTTTGAATTGTTTCCTGCATTCTGATTATTTTATTACCTACCACATGATAAATACAAGTGGGTGGGTATGATGTGTATGCAAACAGAGGCACAGAGACAAAAAGATGCCACTGCAAATAAAGTCTGTTTACTAAATCATGAAGAAAAGTCCATTGGAGTGAATCTGCATTAAATATTCAGGCATGAATAAATTTCAAGAGCGGTATTTGTTCATATTCATTTTAAACATCAGAATTCTTCCTGAATATCACTTCAGCATCCCCATATAGGCTTGTAATTGTGTTCAAATGTACCGTTGCCCTGGGTGGTATCATATGAATACATAGTTCTTATGGGCAGCTTCACAAAAAGGATGATTGATATTTAATAAGATTTTCCCCCATGCCACCATTAATGTGAAAAAAGCAAGTAAATAGCTGTTTTTAAAAACTTTCATTGAGGATTGTAGATTGCTGATGGATTGTCTATCTATTCTTACTCTTGTTGTTGTTCATTCGTTCAGTCGTCTTCGACTCTTCGTGACCTCATGGACCAGCCCACGCCAGAGCTCCCTGTCGGCCGTCACCACCCCCAGCTCCCTCAAGGTCAGTCCAGTCACTTCAAGGATGCCATCCATCCATCTTGCCCTTGGTCGGCCCCTCTTCCTTTTGCCTTCCACTTTCCCCAGCATAATTGTCTTCTCTAGGCTTTCCTGTCTCCTCATGATGTGGCCAAAGTACTTCAACTTTGTCTCTAGTATCTTTCCCTCCAGTGAGCAGTCGGGCTTTATTTCCTGGAGGATGGACTGGTTGGATCTTCTCGCAGTCCAAGGCACTCTCAGAACTCTCCTCCAACACCACAGCTCAAAAGCATCGATCTTCCTTCGCTCAGCCTTCCCTAAGGTCCAGCTCTCACATCCGTAGGTTACTACAGGGAATACCATGGCTTTGACTATGCGGATCTTTGTTGCCAGTGTGATGTCTCTACTCTTTACTATTTTATCGAGATTGGACATTGCTCTCCTCCCAAGAAGTAAGCGTCTTCTGATTTCTTACTCTTATGTGGCTGTAATTTACCTCCAAGCTGATTTTGATGGAATTGAGAAGTTATCATAATGTTTTCTTGGCATTGACTTCTTCTTAGGCTAAAAGTGTATTGCTTCCCTTAGTAATCCAGTATATTTCCATGGTTGACTGGGGATTAGAATCGGGGATCTTCCAGAGTAACAAAGAAGGACATCATGCTTACTCACATACATCTCATTAAGAGTCACATCCACTGTTTTAATGTGGTGAAATGTATCCACACTGGGCATGCATCCCTTCTGGCAGTGACTGATCATTTGTGTAAATGTTAAACACTGATGGAGCAAGCATGATCCCTTGAGGCAGGTCGTCCTTCTGTTTTCACCATTGGCTTTTCTGGTCCTGGAACTCAACAAGAAAGCTCCTGTTTTGTATCAGATTTCCTATGTGGCTCTTAATGAGACATGCCACGTTATCACAGGATGTCTACAACCCACACCACTGGAAAAATTATACTGATATCCGCCAGAAAGCAGCAGCCAGTAATGAAAGGACCAAGGCAGTGACATTTTCAGCCCATCTTCTGTTCAGATATCACCCAGCATGCCAAAGCCTTAAATCAAGAAATAGCTTCCTAAGATCTACAGAGATACTTGCAGGAATACCTCAGCATGCGAGAGTCCAAAAGTGGCAGGCTCAAACCCAGAACCTCAATCAGTGGCTGATACCAGATGAGAGATTTCCCCCTGGGTGCACAGAAGACTGGACAACTTGGAAGGTGCTGAACAGACTGTGCTCTGGCACCACAAGATGCAGAACCAATCTTCAGAAATGGGGCTACAAAGTGGAGTCCCTGACATGCGAGTGTGGAGAAGAGCTAACCACAGCGCAATGCAGTCTGAGCCCTGCTACATGCACAATGGACAACCTTCTTACAGCAACACCAGAGGCACTTGAAGTGGCCAGCTTTTGGTCAAAGGACTGCCAAGTTTTTAATTTTGTTTTGTTTGTGTTTTGAAATACGGTATATGATTAACTGTACCCTCAATTTGCTTCTGACATGATAAATAAAATAAATAAACAAACATATGTCTCATAGATATATCTGCTGTGACATATGTCCCAAAGGCTATGCGCACCCATTGGTGAAAAATGCTGACCAAATGTTGCATGAAGTTACCACCTAATGCATCACCCCAGTTGTCATTGAAGAAGAGAAACAGAAATTCTTCAACAGCAATGAGTGTGACTGGAGGGAGATGTGAGTTTCTGTGAAAAGGATTCGTCTCCCCATCTATGAATTTCCTCCACAAGTCTTGGATGAAAAAAAAAGGAAGTTAACTGAATAATTATTTTCCCTGATAGCTCTCTATCCACATACTTATAAACAACAACAGAAATTCTGCCTTCATTTCAACTTTTGTATTTATTTATTTGGTTTTGCAGAGTGGATTGGAATCACAATGCAAACATATCCAACAAGGTTAAGTGTCTATAATCCTCTGCAGTCAAAATCACTGAACATAATACAAGGCAGAATTAATTTTCCATGTTTTGTATTGCAGTACATTCTCTATTGCAGTTAAAAATTTCTAACCAAGAGTTATGTGTGTGTATCTGTTCGGAATTCAGTATTTATTATTTATTTATTTCGGGCTTTTATATCCCATCCTATCTCAAACTCCGCAGAGGGACTCAGGATGTATCTAAACTGGCCATATAATTTATTTATTTATTTTATACACTTGTATACCGCTAATATCTCAGCCTAAGTCGGCGACTCATTGCGGTTTACAGCAATTAAAAACAATATACAATTTAAAACAACAACACATAGACAATACAGATTATTGGGCCACCAATAATAATACCATGCATCTCGTCAATAAAATCACCAATCCAGAGTTCGTCATCCATAATTAACCAGTCCTTAGTCAGCAAAGTTCGGTGATAACAGACTATAATTTAGTATGAAGCCAGCTCAAGAGCAGGAGTTCCACAAAATACACACACTCAGTGCACATAGTGTCATGAATTCAGTCATGACACTATGTACACTGTAGTGCAGATCAAGCCAGAAACAGCGCATTATAAAAACTCACCAAAAAGTCCATAACAAGCCAGGTAAAGTGCTGCAATGTGCAAATACTAGGCATTGTGCAAATGCTGTATGGTTTTCAGAGTATATTCCAAGCATGGTAAACTTCAGTCCTCCAGATGTTTTGGACGTCAACTCACACAATTCCTAACAGCCGGTAGGAATTGTAGGAGTTGAAGTCCAAAACACCTGAAGGGCTGAAGTTTACCATGCCTGCGAGATCCCATGCAGTGCTCAGAACTAGAACTGGAAAATATGGAGCACTTGTCAGGATACCACTAGCACTTAAGCATTTTAAAGAATGCTGAAACACAGCTGGGCAGAAAGTAAAAGATTACTACTTGGGAAAGCAAAGCACATAGTAAATAAATAATTTTCATGGGAATACTTGCTTTTCATCCCTTTGTTCTCATTACTAGTGCCCTACCATGTTCCAGCACTGAACCCAAATGGACATGGATATTTCCATCAGTAGATCTAGGTGGAATGGTTGAGAAAACGTTCTGCATTTTCAGGAGGCTGTTTAGCTATGGATACTGCAGTTCCTAGGTTTAGTTTTGATCTCCTTTCAGTAAATACTACAGCCACCATACCAACCTTGAAGTACTTCCTGGGGTACCTCACAACTTCTGAGAATGCCTGCCATAGATGTGAGTGAAACATCAGGAGAGAATGCTTCTGGAACATGGCCATACACCTCAGAAAACTCACTTCCCATGAACTCCAGACAAGAAACAATCAGGAAAAGCTAATCACCTCTCAACAAAGGATTCCTACAGGCAGGAACACATCTAAAACTGTCAGGCCATCACATGCTAATCAAGGTGGCCAATTGAAACATTCACCTAGCTCCAACCCTGGACTTCCCACAGGCATATAAACCCAATTTTCCTAGTTTCCAACAGACCTCACAACCTCTGATGATGACTGCCATAGATGCAGGCAAAGCATCAGGAGAGAATGCTTCTAGAACATGGCCATACAGCCTGAAAAACCTACAGCAACCCAATGATTCCAGCTATGAAAGCCTTCAACAATACATTGACTTGGTGCTAGTCAAAAGCAAGACTCATACACTGAAATCCTTTTGGTGTTTTACTGGTATCTTTATGAATATGGTTGTAGTTTTCTGCCCATGACATAAGGTCCACATTCTGTTCCCAGTTCTGTAAATGGAAATCTACAAGTGCAATCATCACAAGAGCAGTTGTCAACTCTTGGATGATGTGTATAATTTCTCCTTGTTTTCAATGCTCTGCTTAACTTGCTGGGATGATAGTTGTAGCACATTCTCCCTTGCACGATGGAACAGTAAACATGCAAGTTTGCAGATCTGCACATACATTTGGTTGTGTAATACAAGTATTCAACAGAAAGTTGGAAGTTGTGCAACCATCACTTCAATTGCTGTTGTTATTGTTGTTGTTCATGATGATGATGATGATGGTTGTGTGTGCCTTGAAGTCATTTCTGAAATATGGTTCCTTAAGACAAACCAATCTCTGCAGTGAGAGTATGTAACTTGCCCAGTGGATTCCTATGTCCAAGCAAGGTCACTCAATGGGTTTCTGTGTCCAAGCAATTCAACCCCTAGTATCCAGAATCATAACCCAACATTCAAACTACTGAATCACACTGGCTCTCACACTTCAGTACTTGTGTGCAAATGTGTACCACCTAAGTGTGTTGTGTGATCTCATCTATAATCTTTTCTTCATTCTTCCACCCAAGAATATTTGTTGCTTGCTGAAACCCTAATGAGTAAATTACAGAACATATGCCGGCCTGTAGGCCTTCTCCTTCATAATGCAATAATTGACATGAAGAGTTTGTTTCTGTCTGTGGGCTGCTTCTGTACTACATGTGTCGAGTGTTTAGCACAATTTTCTTTTCTCCTCTCCCCCCCTCAGGGCGAAGCGCAGTCCTTGTCGACAATCTATCATCTAGTTAATCAGGCTTGTGAGCGTCTGATCCAGTGTGAGTACAAACCTCTCAATCAAACTGAACAACCAGCTTGCTTTGTACTATAACTGGCTTTCCTGCAAACACTTCAGCTTCTTTTTGGACTTCAATTTCCAGAAATAGTCTGGCTGGGGTATTCTGGGATCTGTAACCCCCCCAAAAGTAACGTTTCCAACAATGTGACTGGGAAAATGCATGTATGATTCATTTTGTTATGGAGCTAGATTTTAATAACATGTTCAGTACTCAGTTTCTGGCAGTTTGATTAATTTCAGTATATCAACGTGTTATTTGCCACTCCAGTGCATTTCTTCCTGGGGTATTTTCCATCATGCTACCTACAGCAGCACTTCTCAAGTGTTTCACAACTGATATGCACTCCTCCAACCCCAAAGCCCCCGATTTTATATTTATGCTTGGAAGCACATATAAGCTTTAATGCAAGAATATGAAACAATAAGTATTTCCAGGGGTGGCTCAACCCATTACGCAAAGTAAGCATTTGCAGTATAGTTGATTTTGCCCAGGGGAGCTCTTGAGGCACTCTTGGGAGAAAATAGACCTTGACATATGCAAGTTGTAGTTACTGGGATGTATAGTTCACCTACAATCAAAGAGCATTCTGAACTCCACCAATGATGGAATTGAACCAAATATGGCACACACAACTCCCATGACAAACAGAAAATATATATCAGTGATTGGTTAATACTGTTTGCTTACCGTTGAAAATTACCTAGGGCAGCCTCTGAGTATTTCTGACCTACAAAGGAATTCATAGAATCATAGAGTTGGAAGAGAACCTAAGGGCAATCCGTCCATACAGGAAAACACAATCAAAGCATTCTTGAAAGATGGCCACCCAGCCTCTGTTTAAAAACTTCCAGAGAAGACGCCACCAGACTCCAAAGTAGCTTGTTTTACTGTCTTACCATTAGGAAGTTCTTCCTAATGTTTAAGTGGAATTTCTTCTCCTGTAATTTAAATCCACTGCTCTGTGTCCTAAGTCTCTGGAACAGCAGAAAGCAAAATTGCTCCATTTCCAATATGACATCCTTTCAAATACGTAATTATGGCCATCATGTCATCTCATAACTTTCTCGTCTCAAAGCTAAACATAGCCAGCTCCTCATCTGCTCCTCAAAGGCATGGTTTTCCAGACTGTTTAGCATTTTGGTCACCCTCCTCTAAGCAAGTTCCAGTTTGTCAATATCCTTGTTTTGTCATGCCCAGAACTGGATACAGCATTATTCATGGTGAGATCTCACCAAAGCAGAATAGAATGGCACAATTACTTTTCTTGAATTAGACACAATACTTCTGTTGTTGCAGCTTAAAACCGCATTAGCTTTTTTTAGCTGGCACTTCAGACTGATATCTAGGTCCCTTCCAATGATTTTCATTGTTCTGTGTCAACCTTTAGAAATATTGCTGGGGGGAGGTCTGCTGCTTCCCCTGCCCTGCACTAACCAGGAAATGAACAGAGTTCAGAGAATTAGGAAATGGCTAAATGTATTGTCAAAGGCTTTCATGGCCGGAATCACTGGGTTGTTGTAGGTTTTTTCGGGCTATATGGCCATGGTCTAGAGGCATTATCTCCTGATGTTTCGCCTGCATCTATAGCAAGCATCCTCAGAGGTAGTGAGGTCTGTTGGAACTAGGAAAAAGGGGTTTATATATCTGTGGAATGACTGGAGTGGGACAAAGGACTCTTGTCTGCTGGAGCTAGGTATGAATGTTTCAACTGACCACCTTGATTAGCATATAATGGCCCGACAGTGCCTAGAGCAAACTTTTGTTGAGAGGTGATTAGCTGTCCCTGATTGTTTCCTCTCTGTTGTTTTGCTGTTGTAATTTTAGAGTTTTTTTTATACTGGTAGCCAGATTTTGTTCATTTTCATGGTTTCCTCCTTTCTGTTGAAATTGTCCACATGTTTGTGGATTTCAATGGCTTCTCTGTGTAGTCTGAAATGGTGGCTACCAATATTAAAAAAACTCTAAAATTACAACAGCAAAACAACAGAGAGGAAACAAGTAGGGACAGCTAATCACCTCTCAACAAAAGTCCTTTGTCCCACCCTGGTCATTGCACAGATATATAAACCCATTTTCCTAGTTCCAACAGACCTCACTACCTCTGAAGATGCTTGCCATAGATGCAGGCGAAACATCAGGAGAGAATGCCTCTAGACCATGGCCATATAGCACAAAAAAACCTACAACAACCCAGAAATGGCTAAAGTTCAGCTGAAAAAAAAGGGAATTTGGGAAGCCTTTGGTCATTTTGTGGGTGGTAACAATAACAAGACAAAACAGTCATGATGGCCTAAGTTCATCCAGGAGTGGGTATACAAAAGAAAGGGTCCAACCCATACCATTGTGCTTGATTAACAAGAAGCCAATCAGTATTTTTTTTAAAGTCTGTTACGTGAAGAACTCCAGGAATGCATGAGAAAGAATGGAATTGAGTGGAATAACTCTATAACACATTTCCTTTCCTTTATTTATTTTTTTTACTGCTACAGCTCATGTGTTAAAGTTTGATTCATTCATCCATGAACATTCCCAGAAACCTGTTCCCATTTGGGAAGATAAGATAAAACCTGGGGAGCCTGGTCCTCCTGGCCTTCCTGGGCCTCCTGGCATGAAAGGAGAAAGAGGAGAAGTGGGGATGCCTGGGCAACCTGGCAGAGACGGATATCCAGGAGAAAGAGGTATGAAGAGGTCCTTGTACTATGGTTGGGCAACAATGGGAGGCTAGAAGGATACATCTTGGTGCCCTCCCAACCGCCCTCACCAACACATCAAATCTTCTTTCAAATGTCCTCAGGGTATTTTTGGCTCCGAATAGTCATTTTCTGAGCCACAGGGAGTGGCTATTGTACGTAATCTGTTTCATGTAGAGGCCTCAAATGACCTGGGGAAGATCATGGTAAGAATACACCCTCTAGAGAGCATTTTGGACCAAAAACAATGACCTCTGGAGAGCCTGAGATCCATGTGCAGCCCACCTTCACCTCATATTGTTATCTCTTCATGCCTCCAAATATGATAAAATGAAGGGCTCTCTTCTATTCCATACAAATCTTTGGAACTGTACAGGAAAATTCAGTATACATGCAATTGTTGATGTCACTAGGAGGTGCAGGAGGTTAAGACTATATTGGGTAACATCATCAGCTAGGGTGATACCAAAGCAACATTTTTGCATAGTGTTTGAGTAATTTACTAATTGGTTATTTTTAGTATAATACTCTGTACGGAGTGCCCCGGTGGTGCAGTGGGTTAAAGCGCTGAGCTGCTGAACTTGCGGACCATAAGGTCGCAGGTTTAAATCCAGGGAGCAGCATGAGCTCCTGCTGTTACCCCCAGCTTCTGCCAACCTAGCAGTTCGAAAACATGCAAATGTGAGTAGATCAATAGGTACCGCTCCAGTGGAAAGGTAATGGCGCTCCATACAGTCATGCCAGCCACATGACCTTGGAGGTGTCTATGGACAATGCTGGCTCCTCGGCTTAGAAACTGAGATGAGCACCAACCCGCCGAGTCAGACATGACTGGACTTAATGTCAGGGGAAAACCTTTACCTGCATAATACCCTGTAATTAATTCTAACCACAAACACATTTTAAATAAGGCCACCTTATAGGAATTGTATCAATATATGTACAAAGGTAACTCTATGCTGAGTTAGGTTTGAACCTTCTAATTTGCATGCACTCCAATCAGAGCTGTCATTATTATCCAATTACAATAACACTTGCAATCATGTGGTTTTGTCTCCATGCACTACAAGCGGGCACCATTGGTTTTTGACATTTCTGGTTTTTTTACGATCACTGGTTTTTGTCACTGTATTCAGTTATATACAGGAATTGCAATTTACAAGTAACATTAGTCAGGTAGGAGGAGGTCCATGGGGGTGAAATCATGAGCTGCTGCAGCCTAGTGATACCATTGTATATGATAAAAACTTGTGCTTTCGGGATCAAAAATTTTAACATCTGTGGGTATATTATACTTGTATCTTACAACCTCTGTATTATTTTCCATCTTGAATATTAATAGCTATCTGGAGAAGACTTCCTCTCCAATCCCATTCTCATCCATGCAGCCCCCAAACCTCCTCCCAATACACATACTGGCAGAAACAGCTGAAAGTTGTGTTTTGGACTCAAACATCCATTAGATATGCCAACATCTTCAATAAAATAACAATTCCAGCCTGTGACAGCAATAATGATAGAAATCCAAATGTGATATTTCCAGTGCATCAGGATGTAAGAACTTACTATGTATTTTTGTGCGACTTCAGAGTCATTTCTAAATTATGGCAACACTAAATCAAACATATTGCAAAGCTTTCCTGGTAAGTTTTGTTCAAAGATGTTTTGCCCTTTCCTTCTCCTGAGGATGAGAAAACATTCCTTACTAAGGGTCACACAATGGGCATTAATGGCCTTTATGGATAGCCTCTGGGAAATATAGTTTCTCATACCAGTAGCCCTCACAATTAAAATTCTATCACTAATTTGTAAGCCTTGTATCCATTCTTCCATAAAGTGGGAAGCTGAAGCAAACTGTAACAGAATTGAGAGCAGGGCAAAGTACCGAAGAGGCAAGCAATCACCAACATCCAATCTTTCATTAAGTGTACGGGTAAATAAAGATGATAATCAAAATTAGGCTCTGCAATTTTAATCAACAGGGCACACCATCAACTACCCATCTTATCCACTTTGCATAAGTTCTTCATTCCAGGCACGCTGGGTTGTGCTGTCATGAAGTGACACAGCAGTATTGTGTGGTTGGCTCCCTGGGAACCTCTGATGGACTTGTTGCAATATCTCAAGAGTGGCACCATTCTTTCCTTTCTGTTCTGCATGAGATTTCTGACAGTTGAGTTGAAAATAATGGGCTCTAGCTGCACTTCCTCTCCATTCTCTCTTAATTTTCACCAACTTGAACTTAACTTTCTCTTAACAAAAGACCCTGTGGCTTCCTCTCACATATTTATACATGGCTATCATATCTCCTCTCAGCCTTCTCTTCTTTAGGCTAAACATGCCTAGCTCCTTAAGCCGCTCCTCATGGGGCTTGTTCTCCAGATCCTTGATCATTTTAGTTGCCCTCCTCTGGACACATTCCAGCTTGTCAATATCTCCCTTGAATTGTGGTGCCCAGAATTGGACACAATATTCCAGGTGTGGTCTAACCAAAGTGGAATAGAGGGGTAGCATTACTTCCCTAGATCTAGACAGACACTATGCTCCTATTGATGCAGGCCAAAATCCCATTGGCTTTTTTTTTGCCGCCACATCACATTGTTGGCTCATGTTTAACTTGTTGTCCACGAGGACTCTAAGATCTTTTTCACACGTACTGCTCTCGAGCCAGGCATTGTCCCCCATTCTGTATCTTTGCATTTCGTTTTCCTGCCAAAGTGGAGTATCTTGCATTTGTCCCCATTGAACTTCGTTTTGTTAGTTTTGGCCCATCTCTCTAATCTGTCAAACACTTTCTTAAATCTTATACCTTGCACCAAGCTGTCCATAGATAAACACAGTTTATTATTTCTGAACTTTCCTTGATTTAAGCATGTGTGTGCATTTTGGAACTGTATGGATTCCTTTGTGTGCTTTTCAAATGTCCACCAGTCAACAATCATATTTTTCTTTGGCAGTATTCAATTCCAGGTTGGAAAATGTATGCATTTCTGACTACAACTGATGCCCAGGTCTGCAGTCAGGTCTGGGAACTAGAAACTAGGTCAATCCATTAAAATTAATGTAATGGAGGGAATAGCTGTTTCTCCAATCAAGATATGGCCAGTAGCTGTTTGTCATTTTGAAGATCAGCAGTTGTAATAAAGTTGAATTGGTTAGCATGACATTTAAGGGCCTTATATATCAATCAGGAAATTCCTTCAGTTTGAGTATCTCTTATCTGAAATTCCAGAGACACAAGCTTTATTTCATGCAACAAAACTATTGAGAAACATTGTATAAATTACCTTCACACTATATGCACAGGGTGTATATGAAACACAGATGGGTTTCCTGTTTAGATTTGGGTTCCATCATCAAGATACCTCAGTATATACATAAATGGAAATCCAAATTCCAAAACAATTTGGATTCCAGTTTTGGATCATTGATGCTCAACCTGTATCTGAAATGCCCCAGGTTCATTCCCCAGCATCTCCACTTAGAACTGGAAAAGATAATTATCTAAATTCCTGGGAAAACTATAATAGTTTATATAGACAAGAGGTCGGCACAGCACAACCAGTGGTTTGCAGAAGATTCATGAATTTTACGTTTCTGCCCCCAGACCATAAGAAAAGTCCTCCAAACCTACGAAAATATGCAAAAATACCACCTCACCACAAAGGATACCATAAGACAGTACTGCTCTCAAATACTTTTATTTTTCCCTATAGTTTATCCTCTGAATGGTGACAAGAAATAATGTGATGTCTTTGGGGAGGGACTGTAGAGGGGGAAAAAGTATTTTGGACTGTATAGACAGTGAAATCCATGCAGGGAGCTGAAAAAATGGTTTCTCGTTCCCTACAATTTACTGCTCTTGGATAATACTCAGAGTTTGGGGAAAAGTTCCTCTTTTGGACTGCATCTCCCAAAATCCATTAGTGTTGTGTAATTTTTTAAATGCTTATCCCCATTCTGAGTTAGACTCTTGGTTTGGCTCAGTGTAAGGCAACTTCCTATATTTCTACTGTAGTGACACTTTCCTTAACAACTTATCCATTTTGGAGGCTAAGAAGAGCAGTGGCGTCGAACCCTTGCCCCCCTGGGCCAGGAAGCATCGAATGGTGTGATTCTCTCAGGCTGATGCAAAGATGGTAGTATTCTTGGCTGATAGTTTTTCCAACCTAGGAAAGAATGACGTGAGAAGAAGCTTATCAGACACCGCAGCAGGCACACACATACTGGCTAGTTTTATTTTTGGACTGGCTCTCTTCTGAGCTTTAGAGAGAGAGAAATGGCTTATCTCCCTGCCCTCTTGGCCCAGAGCTAAAAGCTGTCCTGTTTTGTGAGGAGGCGGCATTACCGCAACTCTTTGTTTCACTGCAAATGCCGAGTCATTCTGGCAGCTCCTTTGGTTTTAATGCAAGGATTAAGCCTCCATCTGTTCAAGGACCCCTCTTTAGACACTGCTTCAGAACAGAACAAGCTGTATTATCATTAGAGCTGAAGGGAGTTGGTTCTGCATGGGGGCGGAGGGAGAGAGCAAAAGCTACCCGAGACAGCAAAGACAGCTATCTCGCCTTCCTCCTTTAGCAATGGCTTTGCTTTTGCTTCTACCCAAGTGTCTGAGTGAGTGAGTTAATTGGCAAGCTTCAGAAAGTGGATTTGTACCCCTACCAGAATCTACATAGTTGTGTGTGTTTTCCCCCCTATGTCCACTCAGATATTTGAGAAGCTCCTGAAATTGCTTACAGAAACAAGTGATTATATTCATGGCTGTGTAGGAAATGTCTAGGGCTGACTTTGGAGTGGGATCATGACATGGAGATAAGTTATATAGTTGCCGTTTCATGGTCTTACAGAAGATGTGAAACTAGGTAGGGAGCCCATTAGCTGAGAATTTAATAAGCCTTTGTTGATCTGGGAAATTGCTCTGCTTTGAATAAGATACCTAGCTGAGAAGAAATGGAAACCCAACACTTCTCAATTAAACCGAGGAGGTGGACTAGAGGTGTTTGGGGCTGTCATTAACAAAGATAATTGTAAAATCTTGCAGGTGGTTCTGGAGGGAATGAAACACACACAGTTAATTTGGCATGCTGCTGAGAAGGATTGAAAAGCTGAAGCATGGCTAACAAGCTGACATGCATCAGCGGTGGGATATTATACTATGTAGGTCCAGGGTTGTTTTGGGCTGAGTGGTTTGTCTGATTTTACTAGAGATTCAAAGAGATTCAAAGAATATTCACAAGTGTTCTCATCCTTAAAAAGAAGAGATGCCTCAACACATTGAAGTAAATCTACCAAAAGAATGGTCAACCATCACAAGCATTTTCACATTTGGGGACTATTTGCAAAAATGCAATTTGTTCTCCAAGTATTCTGTGCACAGAAAGCAACATTGAGACAAGAAAATGTATGCTGCAGAAAATGCATGGGCTTTCATATATTTTTTGTGCACAATGTTACTTTGCACAGATTGGAATTTTCAAACAAAATAAGTATTGAAATGGAAAAAGCAACAAATACACAAATATCTCATAATCTTTTGTTTTTTCCCCAGTTAGATCATCTAGAGCAGGGGTCCTCAAATTTTTTAAACAGAGGGCCAGGTCACAGTCCCTCAAACTGTTGGAGGGCCAGATTATAATTTGAAAAAAGCATGAATGAATTCCTATGCACAGTGCACATATCTTACTTGTAGTGCAAAAACACTTTAAAACAATACAATAATTAAAATGAAGAACAATTTTAACAAATATAAACTTATTAGTATTTCAATGGGAAGTGTGGGCCTGCTTTTGGCTGATGAGATAGGAATGTTGTTGTTGTTGTTGTTGTTGTGTGCTTTCAAGTCATTTCAGACTTAGGTTGACCCTGAGCGAGGGCCGGGTAAATGACCTTGGAGGGCTGTATCCGGCCCTCATGCCTTAGTTTGAGGACCCCTGATCTAGAGGATTCAGAGTGAAAAAATGAGAGCATCAAAGCTTTAATTCATAGAGTCTATATGTGACTCAAGCACATAACAGAGAGGTGGCAAAGATTTCCCTACACTTCTTTTGTTGCAACTGTAATTGGAATATCAGTTCAGCAGGAAAAAAGCATGCTACTTTTCTTGGTATAGTGAGACCTTCCCTTTGTCTTTTTTGTGGTGACGGTGGGATAATTGAACAAATAATCCAACTGTATGTTGTAAATATTTCTGATCCATCTTGAAAAAAAATAAACCATTTATTTGTCTGTAACATTTTAGATTGGTTCTAATTTTCTTAAAGAATTTTTTCAGATTGCTCACTCCATGGTAACTTTGGAAAGTGGTTCTGGAGGGTGAAGGTGGTTAGCAATTCTGTCACACATTGGATTTTCCCCCTCACTTAACAGGTGCCCCTGGACCCAAGGGAGAAAAAGGTTCACTTGGCTCAAATGAGGAAGGCCTTCCAGGACCAAGAGGCCGAACAGGTACCAAAAATGCATTCTTGTATATTATTTCTGTTGTCTTTCTCACAATGCAAAGGTACTTTCAGAGTTATCCTAGTAAAACAGGCAGCAACCTTAGCTTGATAAAAAACACACTGTTAATTCATGGAATTCATGGGTACAGTTTGCCAAAAAGATCATCCACCATAAGAGAGTATTTAAAAACAATTAATTATTTTGTGTGGTAGAAGCCTTGGGACAAGGAGAAATATCGGAGAGCAGCTGCCCATTGGAATAGACCAAACCTGTATATCAGTGAGTCTGGATTCCTCTTTTTTGGCCCAGAATCCTCCTTGGCCATACTGAATACCTGAAATGGAAAGTGAAATTAAACAAAAAGTAACTAGAAGGCCACCACAGATTTGAAAAATGGTGTTCAACATTTATTCAAAAGGCTAGGGAGGACCAGACATAGATCAAAGGCTGGACTTTGTCCACTCTTGGAGCAGACAGATAGTTCCAACTAAAAGAAGAAATCATCTGCCGGGGTAGAAGCAAGCATAGTATTCTAGTACTAACTATTGTTGATACTGTTGTTGTTGTTAAGTGCCTTCAAGAAGACACCAATGTATAATTCCAAAGTTAGCATTGATGTTATTACCATCATGTGCCTTTAAGGCATTTCTGACTTATGGCAACTCTAAAGTGAACCCATGTAGTTTTCCTGGTATAATTTGTTCAGGGGAGTTAACCCTGGACTTCCTCTGAGTCTGAGAAAAGATCCACTCAGTAGACTGAGTGAGATTCAAATTCTGGTCTTCCTAGTCTGACATTGAAAGCACTGCTGGAAGCTGACTCTCTCAACCTTATCCTAGGGTTGTTGTTGGCGTTTCTTTTTCTATTTGTCAATATCTCTTTGAAAAAGAGTTGCCCTTGCTTTCCACTGAGAGAGAAACAGTTGCCCAAAGTCGCCCAGTGGGTTTCCATTCCAGATATAAGATGCTTCCCATGATGTAGTCCATGAAAGATTGGGCTTGAGATTTTTTTATTTTCCTAATTAGTCTAAAAAGATGCTAATGAATTCCTTTGAGTTTTTAAAATAACAGAACAAAGTAAGTGATTATTTAGATCCCAAGATAATGTGCTATTATCTTCTAAGCCTCTGATCAAAACTGTGCATAGCCTATACTGACCCTGAGGTACTTCTGAGTTCTTGTGATTGGTTTTCTCCAGGCCCAGCAGGGGAAGAGGTACTTGGCAAGCAAGGCTCAAGGGGACTTCCTGGCAGCACTGGAGCCCCTGGATTTCCTGGAGCTAGAGGTCAACCCGGAGAACCTGGCCATGCTGGTGACTGCCTTCCTTCTGGATGCTCTGAAGAAAGTACAAGAGGTAAGTGTGGCAGAAACTGGAGGGTGCCCAGTGCCTTTCATGCCAAAAGGAGTTCTTGCTGCCTCCCTCCCATTTCAGCCCTCTGTATATTTCCACAAGCAACTCCTGGGGTAAAAGGGATCTCCTCTGGAATATTTGGAGAATCAGTGTAAATAGAAAGCCATCACACTCTCCTTTGCATGAATGGAAGCGCCTATCACTTATGCAAGAGGTTCTCCAGTTGGGTTAGCAGTGGAGAAATATCATGCATGATGGAAGAAGTAGGAAGGAAGAATGCTGCCCAGGGTCATGATCTACAATGATTTTTTAACTAAAGATAGCAATGGTGATTGGTGGTTCCATTTTGGAAAGTATATAAATCTTCTCTAGGCTTTAAAGGAACTATCCAAGGTTCTGAAGCTATCTGCAGAGAAAGGATAAGCACCTTGAAGGGTACAGGCTGAAACTTGAAATGAGTTTACATGTTCCATAGCCAAAGAAGCCAGCATTGGATAAAAGGTGTTTCTAGCAGCCAAGGCAGTGCAGAGGCACCTTAGTAAAAGACGAGAAGATGCATGAAGGTTTACGATTGTGTAGCATCTATACAGAAGCTCCTACAGAGCATTAAAGGTACAAGAAATATAAAAAGGTGAGAAAGACCCAGAAATGGTAGGAAAGATTTGTGTGTCCTAGCAGCAGGTGGTGATGCTCTGCTCAGACATAGAAGAACCTGAATTATTGGCAATATGTTGCAGAGCAATTCTGAATTTGTTTCAAAAGCAAGTATGCCTGGCAGTCTGCCTTGCTCTCACAACATTCACGTCTCTCGCTGCTAGTGGTCTCATTAAGGGTGAAAGTAGCATGTCCATATTGACACCTTCCATAATTTAGCATTGTTTCACCATTAGTTTCTGGACTCCTGAATCACATGGTCTGAAAACCCTATATGGAGTGGCTTAGGGAGCTAGGTCTGTTAAGCCTGGAGAAGAGATAATTAGGAGGCTTCTTGGTAGCCATGTTTAAATATTTTAAGGGTTGTCATATTGAGGGAAGAGCAAGCTTGTTTTCTGCTGCAAATGATTCAAACAAAAATAAAAGAGATTCCACCTAAACATTAGCAAGAGCATCCTGATGGTAAGAGCTATTTGAAATATTCTGTCTCAGAGTGTAGCACAGATTTCTTCTTTGGAGGTTTTTAAATAGAGTCTGGACGACCACGTGGTTCCCCAGAGTGGATTGTATATTCCTACATCGCAAAAAGTTGGACTGGACTGTCCTTCCAACTCTATGATTCTATGTTTCCAATAATCTTCTACAAGCTAGATCTGCCAGGTATACTACTGAGCAGAAACAGATAGCTTTATAGTTTTGGATCACATTTCCTAGAATTCTGCAGCTATATGGAGGATTCTGAGAGTTGAAATCTTGAGACTATGATACAATTGCAAATGTTTCAATCAAGCAACTCCCAATCACAGGAAGGGCTGGTTCTTTTCAGACCTGATACAAGAAGGACTATTATTGCTGTACTGGTTGCTTCTGGCTGTGTCTGGACTCCCAAAGACCAGCATAAATCTAGGGGTGGGACTTTGCTCTGAAAGGGTCCTGTTGGATTGCAGGCCCCAAAAGCAAACTCTGGAATGTGAGCAGGGAGGCTCCCATTCCAGCCATTGCAACACTCTCTGCCCTTTTGTGTTTGTGTGTAGTATAAACTTTAGTGTATCTTGCTTTTGTTTTCAGATGAAGGGTTGATCCCTTGATGGCTGCTGCAGACCAGTGCATCCCACACTTTTGCTGTAAACTTCTATTTACATAAAGCACAGCTGCAACTTGGAATGTTATATTTTTTAAATGCTGAATGCTCTGAGTTTTTTTATTTGTCTATTTGTTAGATTGAATAAAATAGCCACATTTGCTATGGCCAATAACCATATCTGCATTGATGTGCTTTGTTATTTATCACAGTTTCATATTAGTCAATTGTTGCACTGTTGTGAGGTTAAAGCATTGCCTTTAGAAAATAGTCAACTGTACTCTGTATAGTAGTGGTTCCCAACTTTTTTTTTGATCAGGGACCACTCTCCAACATTACTTCCAAAAGGGTTACAAATCAGTTTTTGGTCAACTTTGCTTATTTGGAGTGCTGATTCAGAAAATTGCATTGGATAGACCACATCAGCTCTAGTTTCTGATACAGAACATATGCCATCCAGTAGTCGTCATCTGCTCAGAAAACCATATTTAATAAGCCTTGGCACTATAAGAGGGTTTCATGAGACCAGTCACTTTCATTGCAACAGTGTAGTAACAGCAAGGCCGCAGACCATATTTTAGTTCTTGTGGACCACTAGTGGTCCATGGACCACAGGTTCAGAACCTGCTTTATAGGGTAATTAAAACAATACCCATAGAAAATGGCATTGCATTAGGGTAGAAGGTTAAGTGTCATAAACTAGATTTTTAAAGGTTAATTGGAGTCACTTTCCCTGCAATGGGTATTGTATTTTTGGGTTTGGAGGGACTGGGCCTTTTTAAGGACTTTGTTTCAAAATGTCTATAAAAGTAGTGCTGACCCAGAAGTATTATGTTCCTTGCCCTCTATTCTTGAATAGGAAAGAGAGTTTCTTCAGTAGATGCCTCCAGCATCAACCTTACAGATAGGATCCTCAAATTGTAATAAACAGGTTGGGAGTCACTGAACAATTTACATTGCTTCCTTTTTACCAATCTCTGATTTTATTCCGCAACTTTACCATTCCATTTCATGTGAGGTTGGAACTTCATAATAATAATAATAATAATCATCATCATCATCTTTATTTATATCCCACCACCATCTCCCCAAGGGGACTCAGGGTGGCCAGGCTTACTAGGCACTCCAGGGTGCACATATAACATACAACAGGTTAAAATGGTACAAAAGTATATAATAAGTCACATAAAATTATAAAAACAATTCCCATCAACGCATGCAGCATAAAATCAAAATGATACGATTTTAAAACAACAGTAGATAAAACCAACTGCCATCAATTCATAAGGTGCCAAGTGTCAGCTTAATATGGGGCTATTCAACCTACTCAAAGTCAAAGGCCTGTCTGAACATCCATGTTTTTAGGTTGGAACGGAAGGACTGAAGGGTGGAGGCTAATCTAGTCTCTTTCTCGAGGGCATTCAAGAGCCAGGGAGCCACCACAGAGAAGGCCCTCTGTCTTGTTCCCACCAGCCATGCTTGAGATGGTGGTAGGACTGAGAGAAGGGCCTCACATGTCAATCTCAAAGCCCGTGCCAGTCCGTAGAAAGAGATGTGGTCACAAAGATAGGTTGGACTCAAAATGCTTATGAAAGACTGTGGAAGGAGAAATAATTGAAGGTGTTTGATTTTAGGAACAGCAAAATGAGGATGTTGCCTTCCAGATTCCCCCCCCCCCCCCCAATGTATTTTTCTCCACTCCTGTAATTTCTAACTCAAAAATCAAAACTTCAGCTGGGATGTTTAGAAAGAGAAGTTGGCCATCCAATGAATAAGGAGGGACAAGGAAATGTGAGCACAGCAAACAGAAGAGTTGTGGGGAGAAGACATTCAATTATTCAATCTCTGCAATGATAAATGCTTTGGGGATGAAATAAAATTCCACTAAGAACAAAGTTCTAATTGCAATGCCATCATTTTGCTACCTCTGTAGGTACATCTCTGGAAGGAGAAGCTGATAAGTATTGCATCGGAAAAATCTGTTCCTATGTGCCTCCAAGCTGCATGTTAATTTATGGCAACCCTGTGAATTCCATAACGTTTTACTAACCAGAAAATAGTCAGTGATAGTGCTGGTTTCTCCCTCTAAAATATAGCCCACAGCACCTGATATTCATTGATGATCTCCCACCCAAATATTAACCAGGGTTGACCCTGTTTTGCCTTCAAAATCAGGCAGGAGCTGGTGCTTTTAGAGTATTTAGGTCAACTCCACAACTTTCCTCCCCAATGATTAGTAACTACAACTTTAATTACTAAGAGGGGAAAGAAAGAAATTCAGCACAAGTGACAGAATAGACAATCAGTAGGAATACAGATGCCCTTTGCATTTTAATGCTTCTGTGACTCAAAAGGGAAAATCAGTGTAGATTGTCCCCTTTATCATAGTTCCTAAATTATACCTATCTTCTGGGTGGACTGTTCAGAGAATAGCAGGCCATGTGCTGTTTTGCATGCACTTGTGCAAATCCTCATATTTGCATCTGATTATTTAGAGGGGGGAAATGTACTTTCCTGCATTGTGCATTAGTTTTGAAAAAGCGCTGCTGACCCTTAATTCACAGAACTCGATCTTTTCCAAGCTGATAACGCAAAAGCAATTACTGGGAAGTGGTAAGAGTATAAACACAGGCCCAGACCAGTGCATGTTGGCTGAGCAGAAAATAGCTACCTATGATTACAGTAAAAAGGTGCTGAGATCTCTGCACTAATAGCTCAGCAATCTGGTGCTGATACAGATGGTGGAACCTGGCCAATACAATTAAATGGCTATGTGATAACTCTGGCTTACTTATCAGAGAGTTAAAATTGAGGCTTTGCATGATTAGGTCCTTTTGAAGGGAATGTGATGAAAGGTAGGAATGGGAAGGGCGGGGGAAGCATAAAGGTTATCTCAGCCATCACCTGCCAAAGCAGGTGCAAAGGAGAATTTATAGCATTTTGACACAGGGCCCTTCTACACAGGCCCTAAAATGTGGAAGAAAAGGGAATACAGAGTGGGGGGTGGCTAGATGATATTTGCCAAAAATGTGTGCTGGATTGCATTAACAGCTAAAAACACGTGTTAAAAAGGTGCACTTAAAATCTGATTTCAGCTGAAAAATGCACATATTCTCATGACTGTATATTCCTGCAGTCAAGAAAAACACATGACTTTGTTGCTATATGCTGGTGTGGACTGCTCCAGTGCATGTGTGCATTTAAAAATCCCAAAACAGCTGATGAAGGCTGTAAATAAACGGAGCCATAGGCTCAAATGGAAGCACACTTGGAAAGCAATTCTCATGAGAGCTCTCTGCAACCATTTCTTTGTTCTCTTGTTTATGAAATTAAACAGAGCTTGTATTTATACTTTAGGTACCAACATGGCAGGCAAGTGATTTCAAAGGGAAGCAAGGTTCAAGAGGGAAAAAATAAAGGCTGAAGCAGAGTGAGGAGAGATGACAAGAAATCTGCTTGTGTGCACATTCAGATATGCACATCAGTGCATATGAGGTCCAGCACATCTTGGAGTGTCAATAAATAAATAAATAAATAAATAAATAAATAAATAAATCTTCTGGCTAAATTACTTACCAAAGTGGCCAGAAACCCCCCAAGAGCCATCAGGAATCCATCCGGATCCATAAGTCTCCAGGTCCTCCACCCCAGCAGAGGTACAGATATACTATTCAAGTCATGTGAAATTGTCTCTCACAAAGCTGGTGCATGGAGAACAATGCAAGAAAAAGGACAAGTGCAGAGTGGAGTATTTCAAACCATGCTTTACAAGATACTAATTTTAAAATACACCAAGAGTTCTTTTCATAACAAACTAAGAACCTGAACCTTCATGGCATGCACCAATCCATTACACTGCTCCACATTCTCCACTTGAGATCTATCAATGTAAATAAAAAAAATATCCAGAAGTATAAAGTGTGTATGTGCCCAATACAAAGGCTCACATCTTTGTTTTCCTGGGACATTTCTCCACTATTTCAGTTCAATCCTACCATATTAAACTCTTTTGTAATGAGGTGGACAACCTTAGCCCTTGAGTCTGAATCTGGTTTTCTTGGAATCTCAAACTGGTTTTCTTGATGTTCCTTAAATGATCACACTGATTTCTCCACCATTGGAAGGCCTTCTTTTATATGTTTCCTACCTTTCCCATAATGTTAAATGTTGGAAAATGCCTCCCAACAGAGGTTGGTTGTTGGCAGTGAGAACATGAAGCTCAAATAAGCTGCTGTTTGACTCCCATTCCTTATTCTTTGATTGTCCATCATTACAATGTGGCCCCTGTGAAATGGAATTTGGCCCTTGGGCTGAAAGAAGTTTCCTCATCCTTGTTCTAGTGCTCATTCTTGAAATGTTGCCACCAGACCCTGCTAATACGGAATCCAAATTACCACCATGAAAAATGCTTCTATTCATATAGGGTTTGGGGGGCATTTTGCAAGTTTGAAATGACTATCCTAAAAGACTAAGCTTGAAGTTAAGAAGTACTGATATTTGTGGAACTCTCTAGTTGCAATGCAACCTATCACTGGAACCAGTCTATCACTTTGGGCCCCTGGTGGCACACTGAGCTGCTGAATTTGCTGACCAGAAGGTTGGCAGTTTGAATCTGGGGCACAGGGTGAGCTTCTGGTGTTAGCCCCAGCTTCTGCCAACCTAGCAGTCAGGGGCGGATCAACCCATTACGCAAAGTAAGCATTTGCAATATAGTTGATTTTGTCCAGGGGCGCTCTTGAGGCGCTCTTGGGGGAAAATAGACCTTGACATATGCAAGTTGTAGTTACTGGGATGTATAGTTCACCTACAATCAAAGAGTATTCTGAACTCCACCAATGATGGAATTGAACCAAATATGGCACACAGAACTTCCATGACAAACAGAAAATATATATCAGTGATTGGTTGGGGGGGGGGGGGGGGCGCCAAAATACTGTTTGCTTACCGTTGAAAATTACCGAGGGCCGCCTCTGCTAGCAGTTCAAAAACATACAAATTTGAGTAAATTAATAGGTATTGCTTCTGCACTCCATGCAGTCATGCTGGCCACATGACCTTGGAGGTGTCTACGGACACCACTGGCTCTTCAGTTTAGAAATAGAGATGAGCATCACCCTTCATAGATGGATATGACTAGACTTAATGTCAGGGGAAACCTTTACCTTT